TAAAGCAACACATTACTATCGCTCCATAACTAGGCTACTAGAACACAGCAAAATATCCAAAACGCAGCGCGCTTTAAGGCGAGACAACGGCACACTAACACAGTTTGATATGTTTCAAAAGTGATCCTCTAGTCATTTCTTACCACTTCAGCAATAAGCAGCATGCCTTTCCTTGAGGAGACGAACTCTTTGCTCGGGAGAACAGAGAGTAGGAGAGTCTGGCGCGGCTGATTCGAGCTGGGAGCCTCGATGTCCCCCATTGTTGAAAAGATTTTTAACTCTCCTCAAACTTCAGATAGCCCGAACCTCACGTAACTTAACGGATTCAGGGCAAAACAAAAAAAAAAAGAGATGTGGAGGCGTGAGGCTTCTCGGAGGTGGAAACGGAAACAATGACAGCGCGGAAACGCAGTACGGGCTCCAAAAAAGCGTAACATCTGCTTTCTCCAGATGTGAAATGCGATGCCCCCAGCTGCACACAAAAAACACACCCGGAGCCACACAAATATTCTACTCGTGATGTCACAAGGCAAATAAATGTCTTTATTGATATTAGTTGTACACATTCGGTATGTAAGCACCAATAAAACATATTTCAAGAATCAGCTGGAATGTGAAATGTACTGTAGCCTACTGTTACAAACTTTGATGCGGTTGAAGCGTTGTGAAACACATTGTACAATAAGCCTTACAGTAGCCTATTCAGATTTCACTGCTCATGGCAAAGTAATAAATGGTAGGGGATTTGTTAAACCTCACATACAATAGTACATTATTCATTACTCTAATTGATTCATTGCCTTTCTACATTCTGGACTTCACTTCTTGGCTTGTTGAATGTGATGTTCTTGAAAAGGGTATAGCTGTCCACACACAGCAGCCCAGCCGACATGAACCCAACTATCTGCAAATAGAGAGCAGATGTCAAAATAAATGCACCATCAGGTCAACAAATCCAGTGTCCAGAGTGTGTGTGTGTAAGTGAGATTTAAAAGCTAAATCTCCAAAAGGACTAGTATACAGACATGTTCATGTACACAGATAAAAGCCATGTTTGGACATTGGTTTTATTGACAGTTTATAGAGGGAAATAAAAACATTATGTTAAAATTGACCCACACAATTCATATTGCAATTATAGAGTAAAGAAATATTTCTCACCCCTCCAACCAGTGTGCCTGTGACAGTGTATGTAGTCAGAGCCACCAGGCTCAAAATAATAAAGTAGACTGCTGCAAACACTGAATTAAAAACATCCTGAAGACAAGAAAAGAGAAGAACTCTAAATGCAACACATACAGCTATTTCGCGTAAAAAACCCCTTGAATTATATTATAAAGTCGCGCTGTAATACATCACCCACAATGAGAGGCCAAAAGAAGAAAGTCAGTCTCTTGTTGAGCTTGAGCACATACAGCAACAACAAAAACAAAGTGATCAGAAACTCCAACACTGTGGCTGCTATGTACTTCGGTGTGGATGCTGCAGCGAAACACACAAATGCCACAAACAGAGTCACCTAAAACAGAAAAAGAGAGATTAAATTGTAATACCATTAACTTCAAGCAGATCAGATCTTCTGATACTAGCATTGCCCTCCTTAATACAACATGTTGCAAACTCCAGTTTATGCAGAGAAAGAGGAACTGTTTCCACACCACATTTTTTAGACAACTGATTCAGTTAGTCCTTGAGCCTCTAAAATGCTGTATGCGTCTAGTAACATAGTTAAACAGCAAACTTGAGCAGTGATACTTTGATATTGCCTCACGTACTGTATCTGTAACCCTTTCTAATGTTTACTGGACATTGTCAGCACATTTTAACTTTTTCAGCACATCTGTTGCAAAGGGAAAAATGTTCAAACTTTCCGTTATAAGATTATCTCACCATCTCTGCTACTTTCAGGATTCCCCTCTTGGATTTGAGAAAAGCAGTGTCCACGTCCATAGTCAGTCGTTCATTTTGATCGTCTGACATGACGATGATTCCATTTGCAAAAGACAGCTCACTCTGTCAGTTTCCTGAAACAAGCAATTTCCTTTCAGCTGTAGAGGAAATGACTGTAAGAATATGTGCAATATTCACACCAGCAGCTACTTGGCACTTATACTAAAAAATCTAAACGAGACATACATGCATGAATGTGTGCTCTGACTTTTACAGGAAAATATCAGAGTCATAGAAGAATCAGTAGAATCAGTAATCTGTCAAAGTACATAGAGAGTTTAGTTTGTAAAACTGAAACGGGCATATTTAAGATAATGTTAGCCTTTTCATTACATCATGATGAATCATCTGAAGCAGTATCACTAGGTGTTGGACCACAAGTTATTAGAGGTTTTAGTTTTTACTCACTGAACACAGACAAGTATTTGAAGACCCATGAGCAGAACTACAGTAAATTTGTTAGTAACAATATATTTTGCCATCTGCATTTGCTCACAATGCGTGAACGTAGCAGATCTACACTCTCAAAAATAGTCATGATACAAAATAATAAAAACAACTTTATTAAAAACCACATTTTGCAGTATACATGTAAAATGGATACAGAATGAATCCAATAATCCAACACTGTATACTTAATTACTTTATATGAACAGAATTAAAACATTTCCCTTTCTGTAAATCAGTAAAATTAGTCATGACTTAAACCTCTGACTCTTGATGCATTTATCTAGAACAGGTAGAAGTTGTGTTGGCTCATTAAAATCACAGCTGTAAAAGCTATTTGCATTATCAATGTAATGTAGTTATACCAAAATCATTCCCTTGGTTTTACCCCATGTCCTTCTTTTTAAAATTGTACATAAACCATTTTACAAAGAATTCAAAAACATAAGTAAACATAGGGATGTTTGTTGCTTTGTAGAAAGGCACATCTTCAGGTTTTGCTTCCTCATCTTCACATCTGGTTCATCAGTTTTGCTCTTAGTGTGGCCAGTCGCACTTCAAGGGCTCAGACTTGGGCACTTTGAGACACTTTCCTAACTTCTCACAGCCTGCAGGGGCCCAATTCTGTAACAGAGAGCGGCCATCACAGTAAGCACAGGAATATGAAGTTCCAAAGATACTTACAGCAAGATTTAAAACAGTCTTGTAAGGGTTGAGCTGTTTTGTGTCCTGTCTTTTTCCAAGTCTTTTCCTCTGGCTTAGCATATCATGTGTCTTCATGTAAGATTTATCACAAGATATTTATTTTGCTAGGAACAGTACCTCAGGGATACATGTTTGGGATTTTCTTTTCACATAATGTATGCGGGGGCGGCACGGTGATGCAGTGTTTAGCACTGTCGCCTCACAGCAAGAAGGTTGCGTGTTCAAACCCCGGTTGCCCCCGCCTTTCTGTGTGGAGTTTGCATGTTCTCCCCGTGTCTGCGTGGGTTCTCTCCGGGTGCTCCGGCTTCCTCCCACCGTCCAAAGACATGCAGGCTAGGTTAATTGGTGACCCTAAATTGTCCTTAGGTGTGAGTGTGAGCGTGAGTGGTTGTTTGTCTGTCTATCTGTGGCCCTGTGATGTACCCTGCCTTTCGCCCGATGTCAGCTGGGATTGGCTCCAGCGACCCTGTAAGCAGGATAAGCGGTTGACGATGGATAATGTACACAGTGTCATGAAACTGCAAAGCTTTATCCATTGCCAGTTCATGCAATTCTATCATATTTAGCAGAATTTATTTATAAAACAATCAGCTCATGATTGAATGGCGATCTTATAGACTAGGTTTCATCCTGCACAATTGTACTGGAACACAAATACTTCAATATTCAAAAATCATCTCTATGACAGACAACAATGGAAAGTGTTCCTGAAACTGCATCCCCCCACCAATATTTGAATACTGACAACAACAGATAATGGCTTGGTTAAGATACAAGGCATAAAACGGATATATGTATATATATATATATATATATATATATATATATATATATATATATATTTGCATGACACAGGATAGGAAGTTACAGGACAGAATGCAAACATTACTCATTTTAACACCACTTAAAATTGGGTTTACTTTCTTCACCACAAGGGGGCAGTGCAGTGCCACAAATTAATCCACAGCAGTGTAGTTCACAATCTCTGGTGCTTGAGCTGTTAATAGTCGCTGCTCAATTTAGCTGCTTTAAATAATCCTAAAAGAGATTTTTTTTTTTCACACAAGTATAACACACACACACACACACACACACACACACACACACACACACACACACACACAATGAAGAAGTAAAAGTCCAGATTAAGGTAATAACCTGATACACATTCTGGAGCGACCAAGTTAGTAACAGTAAAAATAAAAGATAAATCTGGTGAAGTGGAACATTCATAGTGTGCAGGCTTTATGTAGACTGAAAACAGACAGCAACTGAGAAAAAAAACTCTATTCAGAGACTTATATTGATTTTAATTTTTTCATAAAAGGCTTTATCAATTTCTCTTTGTATTAATGTATCTGATGTACAAGTGTGATGGAGGGAACAGAGAGATAAGGTGCAAACACAAGCTTTGAGGGCTGCTGGATAAATAGAAACATAGAGTATCTGCTGTGAAAACTGAACTGCCTATTTGGCTTTGCTCCACTGCCTCTGGATATAGTGGGGAAAGAGTTAGCTGCTACATACAACAAAGCCGGCTTTCACAACATAATTTTTTTCTTTTTTTACATTAAAAAATGGAAGTAAAGTAAAAAAGATATATTTATTCATGTTATGTGAATCTCACCATCACAGCCACATCACACATGTTGAGCTGGGGAATACCGGGCACCAGAGTCTTCTTATGCTGCTCCACAACTAGGGAGATCCTGCTCAGCACATCCTGGTACTCCTTAGTCAAAACACTGCGAACAGACAATACACATTTATAATCTGCCGATTATTGTTTTGTTGACTAATCGAAATGAAATGTAAAACAATAGAGAGAAAATGTTCATCACAATTTCCCAGATCCCAAGATGATGTCTTCAGATGTCTTGTTTTTTCTGGCCAAAAAGTCCAAAGCCCAAAGATATAAAATTCACAATGATACATGACAAAACCAGGCAGTGACTCCTAACATTTAAGAAGCTACAACCAACGGCTTTTTGACATTTTTGCTTGAAAAATGACTTTAACAATGAATCAGTTTCTAAAATAGTCAATTATCTTTATCTCAATTTAAACATTTTCTTCACTTAATCTTTTTCAGTGAAAGGCTCACAAATTTAAAATACCTGAATTAAAACAATCAAAATTTAAAGTTTTTAATAAAAAAGTGAAACAATGGCTTAAACAACAACAAAGATGACACCGAATGAGTTTGAATGGATCTGCTGGTCACAAACATACATATATATACATACACACACTTTCACACATACATATATATATATATATAGACACATGTTTACAGCTCTTGTTTCCCTATATATTAATGCATAGAGCATTCCCACATCAACACAAGTCAGTTTTGCCCATCTGTTTCAGTTGTTTTACTTTAAACTGAAAAGCCTAACACACAACCGCACATATGAATACGCACTTACACACTGTGTATGTGTGCAGTAAATGCTTTGTGCACATGTATCCAGTACAAGCTTTGCTCATTATATCAGAGTGGGGACATGCTGTAGCTTTCAACAACACAAACATAAACACACACACACACACACACACGAAAACACACACACACACACACTGGCTGTCCACTCAAGCACCCTTTGGGAAAGCGCACTGAGCAGGGTGAACTATGTAACCCCTATCCCATCCCCTGTCTCTCAATTACTGCTGTTGGACACCAGCGAGCCTGAGCACCTCTGTGCATTATTATATTCAGTGTGTAAAACACAGGGACCCTGAAGGCTTTCAAAGGAACGCTACTCTCAATAGGACCTGTAGGGTTAATGGGCTGTGTGTGTGTGTGTGTGTTGGGGGAGTGGGCGTCTGGTGGTGTGACACACGGACAGACAAATATCAGCAGTGCAATTACACCCCTGATACACTCGCCAGCAGCACCTGTGCCAGCCTTCCATCCTCCCTCCACTGCAAACCCAACCCTCTGATTGGCCCCTGGGGAACATGTGCATGTGTGTGAGGTGAAGTGTCAATTAGAGTAATAACCCCAGGCCTTGTCCAGCTCACACCTACCCTCCCTCTTAGATCTCCCACAGGGAAGCAAGGCTTCCTCCATCAGCCAACACCTGCTCCTTTCCTTGATACTCTCAGTCTTTACTTTCCCCTACAATTACTCGACTGGTAGTGCACTGGCTGCAATTAGTCTCTCTCCTGGTGTGCCACATTCGTCATAAGCTAACTATCTACGCATTGTGACCCCAGCTGATAGGGAAAAACCGGATTATTCCCCTCGGTTCAAAATCAGACATTCAGATTAAATTGCTTCAGCTATCTAAAATCACAAATTCTGCTTTTGCCCGAGCATCAGCGAGAGGGATATTTCATTCCCCTACTATCTGTGCTCATTGTTGCGATTCATTTTGTGATAAGTGATGAAGCAACTTAATAGAAGTAAATGTAAAGGAGATTTATCAGCATGTTCTCAACACAAGTCTGCAAGCAAAGCATGCCATGTATTGAGAAACTTGCACAAGACTTTCTATTGTTTTGTCTATGCACTGAAAATCTTCCAGTGCAGACCTCTAAATCAAAAACTAATAATATCATTTGTTTGTGCCCCCTCTGCAAACAAATAATAAAAAGCCCACAGTCAGCACAGCTCATTATCATGATTATAACCCTTAGCCCACTGGTGTAGAGACAAATTCTGGAATAATAAGCAGGCTGTATGCAAATGGAGTCTTTTGATTTATAATGTATGGCACCCAAGGGGGATGGGGGCATTGCTCAGGTGTGTCACCACTCTGATTACTGATTCATAACACTATTGCTGGAACACACACACACACACACACACACACACACACACACACACACACACAAACAACCGCACAGTAGCAGAAGGTGGGGGAATTGAGAGACAATCAAATACATCTGTCCTGCCTACACCTCCCCTCCACCATCTTCTCCACCCCGGTGGAAATTGAGCACTTCAGTAAGGACTATTGATTGGGGACACAAGAGCTTGGTGGCAGGCAGCAGATGAGGCCAGACTGTGAAGGGCTGGCTGCCTGCAGTGTTAGGGCTGGGACTACACCCTGGATGATCGGGGATCTGGGGACGTGAGCTGAGGCACAGGCAGTGAGAAAGTAGGATGTGTTAACCTCACAGTCTTAGGTCACAGAGATGGAGGGCGGAGTGGATGGCGGCAAAAGGCTTTGAACAAATCCAGTGGGACTGTGTTGTGGACGCAGACCAAGTTGGGTCATTCATCTAGGGAAGATGGGCCACCAACATATCCTTCAACTCCAATCAAATTTGCCTCAAATAATGCCTCTGTTTGTAATCAGTTATATGACAACTAGAAAGTAGTTTCTTTCCAAATTCTCCCTTGATTGCATAATAAGAATCGATGCTGTTTTGCTGGGTGACTGTTCTGGACTGGGGAATGTCTATGTGTGTGTGTGCTCTTTGCTATATCACAGGCTGCGACAGTAGTGAAGGTATGTGTGCAGACAGGCCCTACATCATCTTAAGTGGCTCTTTAGGTGCAGACAGAGATTAATGATGGCCAGGCAGCTAGTCCAGCTGGGGGACCGAGGAGCACACGGACAAAACGCACACATACACATGTGTGTACACACACACACACACACACACACACACACACACACATCCAATGGTCCCAGTGGATGCAAAAAGACAGCAGCTGAGTTTTGAGAAGTGAGCAGAGGTGCCCAGTAGTAGGTGGACAGAGAAATGTAACAAGGAACGTGTTTGGAGGAAGTGGACTCAATAGTGCAGATGAGAGAGGACAGAAGAAGAACAGTGCATGAAGCAGTGTATGTGTGTGACCTTGCAGACAAACTCAATGACCCCAGTAAAAAAGGAGTGTGCATTTTTGGTTCGAGTATGTGCGAACATCTGGCACTCAGCACAACACACGGCTGCATATTGATTGGATTTTTTTTTTTATTATTATTCTTCCATGTGAATAGCGAGGCTAAAAGGTGGGCAACTGAAAAACAACATTAATGTTTTATCATCCAATCTCACTTCAGAACTGAAAGGAGTTCGAGCAGGAGGCGAAGAGGAGATAAGGCCAGAGCAAAATACGAGAGGCAGACCTGCAGAAGGCAGAAAAGAAAGGTCAAAGGAGGAGGAGCCAAAGCCAACACTGTGCACAAAAGGAAAATTCTCTCATCAAAGTGATTCTGAGATTGTCTTAATGTATTAGTCATGGTGTCAGCTTTGCGTAAATTTGTTCTAAAAGATCACATAAATATTCGGCTCTGACAGTATGCAGTAAGAGATGACGCTCATCCATCTTTGCACCCTTATTTAGCAAAAATCTTAGTTCAGCCTTGGCTGCCTGTGTCCTCTGGCATCACTCTCTCCTCTCTGCGATTCTTAACTCTCCTCGGAGCTGAGGCAGACACACACAAAACTCTATTAAACAGCACTCGCTCTCAATTTAGACCTGGACAATTTATCTTGCAATTTTAACCTGCAGCGGTGCACCGGAGGGTTGAGGGCCAGATAGTGATCTTTAAGGAGCTGTTTGCAATCACAAAGAGAAGGGTGTAATCAGGCGCGCTCTGGCTGGGCGGATCAATCCACCGCCTTCGTTTTCATGCCACTGAATCAGCATTGATCTCATACACATCCTGTGCTACCAACAGGCAAACCGCCTTCCTATTTTCACCCCTCTCCTGTTCATCTTTTCACTTGTTCCTGGCTGACTCCTCTCACTTTCATTTTTTCGTCCCCTCCCCTCTGGAAATCAGCTATAAACAGAGTAGAAGTTTTCAACTTGAACCTGATAGGGAACTTTTCCCCAGGATCCCGACCCAGGTGAAAAATGATTGGCTGCATTGTGTGCTCTTTTTGATCGTGAGTAGTCACACCTGGGACCTCCTGACCTGGACAGAAGTTGACACCCTGTAAGAAAAAACACACAAAGACACAAACTTGTTAGTTTTTTACTAAATCGAATACAAATTGATGTTAATATATGTTCTCAAGATCAGCTAATAATTATGTCATTAAAAGGATGCAGAAGTGTTGCATAGCCTATGTATAATAATATAACTCAAGCAGAGATTAGTGACTGATAACTGACAGTATAATGTCTTTTGAGGGCAACGATTATAAACATGCTCAAAAAGAGTCAAATTTGACATTTGAGGAAGAATGAACAAACCCCGCAGATCAGAGAGGTGTTCATTCTCTATGTTTCTAAAGTATTTGATGTTATTTTACATTTATTTATTTTTAAAACGCTGACAACTTTTCACCACCTGTCTCCGGTATGTATGCTGGAATAAGACTGCAATCCACCGTAGAAGAGGGCAGAACAGACCTGTTTTGACTACAAAGCTCTCATGAATTAAATAAGAAGATCAGCCTTTCTTTACAAAGCAACCTAACACAAGATTTGAGGTCAGTCCCACAGACAGAAAAAAACCCATAAGTGAAATTTAAGATGAAAAAAAAAAAGATAATTTCATAGAATGTTCCTATATTGTTTGGCCATGGTGTGTCCAATTTGGTCATTTTTTATGGTATATTTTGATCTTTTATATGTTTGGTTGAAACACATGTACACAAGGCTTTTCTCTGTGTGTATGGTACTGAAGTCGGCGAAAGAAATCTGGATGTTCAGATTTAGGCTTGCAGTCACCTTGCTACTCTGAGCTCATTGCTTAATCTCATTGTAATATTGCCTATATGCACATTGTCTTGCAATCCGTTGTGCTATTTATGCAGCTACTGTTGGTGCATCATAAAGGGGTTTGAGTCGCTGGCAAAATAGAGGACTTTTCTTCCTTGTGCTGGCTCTACTTCATCTCTCCAAGCCTTCGCTCCTGCTCCCTGACTCCATTCTCATGAGCCTGGCAGTGATCACAGCCTGATTGAGTCACACTCAATCCTCCAGAACCCCCTGGAGATCTGCCCCCTTCTTCAACACACACACACACACACACACACACACACACACACACACACACACACACACACACACACACACACACTTTTTGATGAGCACAACTAATATTGAGAAAGCATTCATCTGTAAGGCGCTGTTGCTGCCCCCCTCTGAGATCGTTCAACAGAGCACCTCAAAATACATACAGAAGAGTGAGACAGAGAGTGAGAAGGAAAGATACCCCCCGCCCTGCAGCGCCTCCTCTCATCTAGACTTGTCCCGTCTTTTGAAGCCAACAGCTTAGAAATGCAGAAAAGAATGGAAAAAAAAAAACTCATCCCAGAGGAGCAGCAAGAAAGGCCTGCTGTGTGTATCTCTCTGAATCTGTCTCTTGTACCCAAGACATAACAGCAAGAACCCCATATCTCCCCTGACATTAATGCTATGGATACAACAAGGCTGCTTTCAAACTGGAGCAGAGCAGTTGCTATTACAAGATAAAGGGCAGAAGAATCCAGGGGTGGCAGGATTTTGGAAGAGGAAATATTTTAGATTGTGACTGAATATTATTTAAAGCAACGTTATGTCCGAATTGGTATGATTTATAAATTTCAGAAATAAGGACAGCTGTTAACGTGCATTTATTTTTATTACATTACTTACGATCAAAAACTAACAAATCAACAACTTTGCTAACACAGCCAAACATAAGCAAGTGCGACAACACAAGACATAGTAACAAGACATTACTTACTAGTCCAACAGAAAGAATGCCAGCCCGGAGACTGTCCTGCAGCCTTTTATTTCACAAAGCTCTTGCCAAAGTGGCAGCCTCTTGCTTGGTCACTCTCTTTTTCTTTTCTTAGCTACCTCTGTCAACATCCTCTTCGGTCTCTTTGCCTCTGCCATGAGCTAATGTTGTGTCTATAGAGGCTGCTGAGCTTGGTTATGTTGCCTGCTCGCCCGGCTCAGGCACAACACCGGCGCCGCTCTCCACTAGCAGTAGCATAATGTTACTTGAAAGTTGGGTGGCAAGCCAAGCCAACAAAGCTAGACAGTAACCGATGCAAGATCACATACAGTAATGTAACCGATGTCTGAGTGTGTTATCTAGTAAGTTTGCTGACATCAACTCGAGCTTTATCGAGAAAAGCTCTGGCTGATTTCGACAACATTGCTAACGCAGCCAAACAACAAGTAACAAGACAAAGCAAGCCAGCTGATAAGTTACAACTTACTAGTCCAACAGCAAGAAGGCCAGCTCAGCATCTCTCCTGCATCCTTTCAGCTCTTCTAGCTAAAGCCAATGAATACCGGCCAGTCCGATTTTAACTCTTGTCTGGTCTCCTACTCGGTCACTCTGTCTTTTTCTCTTTGCTTGACATCTTTTTCGGTCTTATTGCAGCCTCTGCCATGATATTTATACTGAGAATACCGAGCTAGCTTCTTTCAAAGAACTTACATTGTACATTTTATACTTTTTGCTTCTTCTTATAGCTCACTTGCTAAAGAGGTGTGTTGGTGTGTGACATAGTGCCATAAAGCATAACACCGCCGTGATATGTTTCCTGCCCAAGATTCCAATGTTACATAGAGCAATACCAGGTGTTCTGGGCTCTGTGGGAATGACAAAGATGCCATTTACCCTATTACAAGTCAGTATACCATCAAAATGATTTTGAGGAGCTGTTGTTTTAAGATAAAATTACTACACAATTTTGCTTCAAAATCATATATACTGTAAACATATGTACTTCCTACTTATAACTACTGTAACTGACATTTTGCAAAAAAATTGCAGTCGATCTGTCAACTATTCGCTAAACGCCAATTGGTTCCAGGAGGTCTTTATGTGCTGCACACTGCTGTAATGTATGTACATGCTTTTTGCCATAAAGTCACTGATGTAGGTGCTGTTTAACAGCGTTAATGTCACGAGTTCCAATCTAGCTCAAGACCCCGAAACTGAGCTACTGCACAGTCTACCTCTTGTTGATTGAAAATTGATGAAATAAGTAACCAGTGTACGACAAACAGGTGTCTAGGTGCCTTTTTCATTTATCACCTTATGAGTATGAGTATTTAGCCAGGTTAAAAGATATTACAAAGAGTTCCTACTGTAGCATAGGTTACTCAGCAAAGGAGATATAAAGTCACAACAAACTATATTTTGCAATATTAACATCACTACGCTGCCTCAAGAGCGTTTGATGAGAGCCATTTAAGCCTGTGAAATTTCTCATTTTCCTCATGGCTGAGCTGCATGAACACAGCCAGGACAGAGCGAGATGTCTCCCAGCTATTAACCTGTAATTTTGTACTTCTTCATAGACACACATTTTCCCTTGTTTATTTTTCACCATGGGCCAAGATGCCAAATTATATTTATAAGTATTACCAAAGTGGAGGAGCAGGCAGGAAAACATGATTTTTAGGTTTGATTGGGGTTTTCTATTGCAAGACAGGTTAAATTGAAGCCTATATAAGGATTTTAAGGGTCAAGATAATTTAGACCTTGAAACATATTTTCCTTCTAAAGGTAATTTTCAAAACATTTCATGCGTAATCTGACTTCGTGACACAGCTGAATATGAGTGCATAAGTCAGTTTGTTTAATATGTTTATAAAATGTAAATGGGAATTTAATGCTCCCTTGTAGGAGCTCCATAACAATACACACACAGACATGCACTTCTATATGGAGAACCGAACATACATGTGCATGTTTACCTCTCGTCCTTTCTCTCCTTCTCATGTACACACACACACACCAATCGATAGGCAACTCACAAGCAATCAGACGCCATTATTTGTGAAGTTCCACTTCAGTTCACATGAGTTGATAAAGGAGGTTGCTATTGATTCAGCTGCCCTGAAGGAGAGAGCAATTTAAGCGACCGATGGGGCATAAAACAAACTGGATCACAGGAAAAACAGGGCAGGCGAAGGGAGGACAGGAGAACATGTTTTCATGGACAGAAAGAAGGACCACACTATCCTGCTTCTCAAGTGTCAGATTTCACATTTCTCCTGATACATTTAATCAGCACGACATTGATGTAATTATGGCCAAGAGATACTGCTGGTATCTGCCTTTGTTTCTTCCTTTTGAGCACCGTGATGCCAAAAGAACCGTCTATAGCAGACAATGTCGGTATGTAAATGGAGAGGAAGAAAATCTCCAATGGAGTTAGAACAAACAAGTCAACTGGTTGATGAATGATGTAAGTTTGCCGATGTGGGGGCTCTTCATTAATATTCATTACGCTCTGATGTACACAGCAGTCAACTGATGAGCCAGTTTCAAGATAACACCAACAGCAAAAGTGTTTGTGTGTTTGAGTAAGATTAGAAGAGACAAAGAGGGAGGATGTGGCAGTGCAAATCAAGAACTGAGCAAACAGAGATGGGACAGAGTTGCTGTGTTAAAAGGGAGTCTTACGCTTTTCAACTCCTCCCATGAGTTGCTCCAGGTCCAGTAGTGTGCCTTGTATTGTCCAAGCCTCACAGCCATCAGCTCATTCCCACGGTAGTAGAAGATTGGCCTGTTGAGGATGGGAAAAGGAAGAAATAATGTATCCAACGAAGGTTAAAATCAAGGGCAACTGGACTTGGTTGAAGATACTGGAAGACGTTTCGTCCCTCATCCAAAGGACTTCTTCAGTTCTGACTGACTGGCAGGGAAACTCAGCTATTTAACCTCAGTGGGGTCGTTGGCCCGGGTCATCGATACCGCTGGTTCGTTAGTGTTCCTTGTTGCTGTGACGACAGTCGTTACAGTCGTTAAGACTACCTGTGGCCAAGACTGAACGACCATCGTTGGTATCTTCACCTGAGGTCAATAGGTTACGTTTGTTGAGTTCTTCTCGTGTGTCAAGTTCACACGAGAAGATGTTCACAACAACAGTTTGGCCTTCCTGGACTGCGCTGTACACATTGAAGAGGACAGGAGCCTCCACCCACTGGAGCACAAGCTAGGGGTCATGAGAACACACTGCACCACAGAGCGGAAAACATACCAACAAGCTCCCAAGCCAGAGAGAAGGAACAGAACCACCTGAAGGGGGCACTTACAGCCTGTGGATACCCTAAATGGACCTTTGTGAAGACAGCCACAAGATCCAAGAAGAACAAAACTACAGGGGAGGAGGAAAAGAAGGTCAAACGCAACAACATTGTGATTCCATACGTGTCTGGAGTATCAGAGAAACTCAGGAGGATTTTCAACAAACATAACATCCCTGTGTTTTTTAAACCCAAGAACACACTAAGACAGATGCTGGTACACCCCAAAGACCGCACACCCAAACACAAGAAAAGAAATCTAGTGTATGCGGTCCAATGCAGTGAGGAATGCACAGACCTGTATATTGGGGAGACTAAACAACCACTACACAAACGCATGGCTCAACACAGAAGGGCCAACTCCTCAGGTCAAGACTCTGCAGTCTACTTACATCTGAAGGACAGAGGACACTCGTTTGAGGACCACCAGGTGCACATTTTAGACAGAGAAGATGGATGGTTTGAAAGAGGTGTCAAGGAAGCCATCTACACCAGGGTTGAGAAGCCGTCATTGAACAGGGGACGGGGTCTACGACACCACTTATCCCCCACTTACAATGCTGTCCTTTCATCACTTCCCAGGAAACTCAACAAATGTAACCTATTGACCTCAGGTGAAGATACCAACGATGGTCGTTCAGTCTTGGCCACAGGTAGTCTTAACGACTGTAACGACTGTCGTCACAGCAACAAGGAACACTAACGAACCAGCGGTATCGATGACCCGGGCCAACGACCCCACTGAGGTTAAATAGCTGAGTTTCCCTGCCAGTCAGTCAGAACTGAAGAAGTCCTTTGGATGAGGGACGAAACGTCTTCCAGTATCTTCAACCAAGTCCAGTTGCTCTTGATTTTAACCTTCGTTGGATAACTATGACCTGGATGACTGAGAATCTTCATAGACATCGAAGAAATAATGCTTAGATTTGTTTCTTCCCAGGTGAATTTGCGCCAAATTAGACACTTCTGTTTTAAAAATTAACTTTTTTTCTCTTAAAGTCTACTCTCATTGTTTTCTACCTATTCTCTCAAGAGGTGGAATATGTACTTTCTAACTCTGTGAAAATCACACATCATCAGAAGATAAAAGAGTCTACAGCCAAACTAGCAGCTCTGTGGAGCTGTACTTAGGCACAGCAGTGAGCTCAGTGCTAACGGCAGCAGGCTAACATGCCATGATATGATAGCAGATGTTTAGCAGGTTTAATGTTTACCATGTTCATCATCTCAGTGTAGAGTGCTAGAATTTGCTAATTACTATTAAATACAAAGTACAGCTAAATTTGATAGCAATGTTATTACTTTTTCAGATATTTGGTCCTAAATCAAAGAATTAGGCATGGCCAAAAAATGCTGTCTTACCTTTTGCATGACAAAACTAACACTGCTCTCGCACTCAGGGATGTGATCGTGAACAATAAAAGGCATTCTGAAAAATGAACTAAAGTAACGGCCAGGAACATCACAAATCTCTAGCCAACTGGTAAAATCCTGTAACAGCTAGTGTGTGTGTACTCGCCTGTTTTGGAGTGTTTGTGAGGGGTTTAGCAGGACTGATGTCAGGTCCAGTCCATCAAGAGTCCTATCATCAGGAGGGCTGATGCCAGCCAGAGCCAGACTGGTGGTGAACAGGTCCATCACATTGGCCAACTGGAAACTCACCTGTAAAAGGAAATTTTAAAAAGACAAACACTATCTTCAGTATGAGAAACTATTTTACACAACCTGCGAGTGAAGAAAAAGTGAAAGAAATAAGGACTGGCTAAATGTCCTTTCAAGGACTTAAATTGGTCCTCATTCATCTTTGGTAGCTGTATGCGACACACACACACACACACACACAATTTAATGGCAGTATCTCTTGTTGAGTACCTCTTGCTTCATGTTTCTGCCACCAGTGGCAAATAATAAAGACTTCACAAATCCAGAATTAACCGTTTTATGCTCAAGATATACCACAAGCTTTCTCTTTAATGCAGGATTTTCTTCATGAACACAAACATGGTAACACTGCATTGTCATGATAGGACAATAGGATAGGAAGTGTGTTAGTGTGTACTCATGTAGGAAAGATGTGAATTTCTTCATACTCCTCTCTAATCTCTGCTTGCAGGTTTATTACAAAAAACAAAATGCCTCTCTTTCTAAATTACTTTTTGTTTTGGTTTTTTTTGGGGGGGGGCAAAGAAAAAGAGGAGTGGAAGTAGGGAGAGGACAAGGCCCGGGCAAGCAGGCGGCTGGAGCTGGAGCGAGCTGGTGTTTTATCTCCTTCCCCCAGTCCCAGTGAAAAGCTTTATTTTATTTATAAACTTTGAACTATTTTCAGATAAAATGCCATTTTTTCGCTGTCATCCTTGATCTTCCGTTCCATTCTCTCCTGAGCGAGCCTTAGAGGGAGACGGCACGCTCACAATCAGATAGCGCTATCAGGCCTCTGCAGCTGCACCACCATGTGCTGCTGTGCTCCTATCGGCAGCCAGCACACATACAGACACAAACGCACACTCACACACACAAGCTCCTAAGCACTGAAATGAATTCCCCTTTCTTCTGTATCCACAGAACTAGCCACAGAAAAGGCTTTGCAATGCATTCCATGATCTATCTGCACATCCAGACACTCTTTCTCTCACACACACACAAACACTAACAGATTTACTCCGTCATTTCATTTTTCTTTTCTTTTCTTTTCTTTTTTTTTTTTTTAAAAGGTCCCCCTCAAAAAACACACAAACCATTAAAGAAGACAGGACAAAAGAACACAAGAAGAAGCAAAACTGACATTTAGTTGGTAATAACTTGACCAAAAACCAAAACTTTCAGGCTCAGACTTGGCTGATATAGGAATTTATCTCTATGAGTTGCCATCTTTTATTTCCTTCCTTATTAGCTCTGTCCTCTTTTGCAGTCTATACTCAACTTCTTCATTCTTTCTTCACCCTTTGTTCTTTCCTTTTATTTTACTGACTCATCACTCTCAATTAACGTCACATTCTCTTTCTCTCATTTGTTTCTGTGCTGTTGGTGATGTGATGTTGATTATCTGAGGAGGCAGTGCTTCTATACCCATCTCTGCCAGTGTCTCTGCTGCATGATAAAACACAACAAAAGGGATTGTGACGCTCAACAACATTGTGGGACCAACAACCCCCCCCCGGCACTGGGAGAATGCTGAATCTGCACCTGCTTCAGACCAACCATGTTTCTTCATTCCAGTATACCTCCTTCCATCCACCTAAACATGAGTGAATGACAGCAATTACCAGCACATTCACAGAAGTCAGCTAAATTAGTTTCATCACTCAGATGCATCCACAGATAACAGGCTTTTTTGTCTGTTTAAGAGTTGTGGAAATACACACAGAAGTGGTCTTTCCAGCACCATTCACCCATCCCCCCAAAAATCTTAATGCTGCAAAGATGCATCTGTGCTCAGTCAGTACAATAAACCTGCTGAAATCCCAATTTAAGAAAGGCTTGCATGGCGGTTTGTTGTTCGCATTTTGCTCCAAGAGCTTATGGACTTTTCAATGCACAGATCAACGGAGATTTCAGAAGACTACAAATAAGGGAGGGGGCGACCCTGTGCCTGGTTTGTCCTCCCTCCCAAGCAGCAAAGAGTGTTAAATCCAGAGCTGTGGACTACAGTAGCTCCAACAAAGCAGCTTTTGTCATCCCAACCCCAGAGAGCTTCAGGGAGTATCACTGACCCTCGTTCTCACACACACATAGGTGTTTTGTGTTGGTGGTAATATTATTTACAAATGTGTCTCTTCCGCTGGTCTAGAAAGTTTTCTATCACATATACTAATCCAACATACATGTAAAAGCATGCATATATATGTAGGCATGTGGAATAAAAGATAAATGACTCATGTATACACAGATACATTGGTCAATTATAATGTGGCACAGGTGCCACAAAGCCCTGCAAACACAACATCATTCCTGGCAGTGTGGCAGTGCCAGCGTCTTTAGCACTCCTCCTCCTTTTCTCTTTTCTACACCAGTCACCTCTTTTACTTCTTCCTTGCTTCCTTTCCTGCCCACCCCCCCCCACCCCTCCGTTCCTTTATCCTGAGCGCCTGGCATATTCAGATACTGAAGTCCTCATTACAGCTCAATCCAACCTCAGCAAACACACAAACAGATTAGCCGCTTAAGACGCTCCCAATCCCCCTCTCCCTCGCTACTCTGCAGTGCTATCAGGCCCCAGCACACCCCTGTGAGATGAGCCAGGGGCAAGGCTTACTGCAGACTGCAGCCTCCGCTCGCTCCTCCACCAAATCCCTCTGCGTCACAGCCCCGTGTCACAGCTGCCCCTAATACAATTAAAAGTCATTTGCAGAACGCACAGGCTTAGAGGATCACGGTGTGGGTGGGGGGTTAAATTGGAGATGGGGAGGGAGGAAAGAGAGAGTTTGGGGCATTAATTCCAGCCAAACATTTTTTGAGGTAACAGTGGAAAAATCGCCCACACGCTTCGTGGCCGCAATCACATAGTTTATCTTTCGTGTTTCTGGAGTTCAATCACTCGATAGAAGTTGAACATAGTCAAGATTAACTGGTTATGGAGCCAATTATGACTGTGCCCATGTAAAGTGGTAAATGAGACACAAATTAAACAAAAAAGTGACAATCATTCAAAAGGAAGGATTAGTGATTTAATTATTCCTATATCAATCTGCTTTATAGTCCTGTACATCACCTGCAGCTTTACAGAGAACATTTCAGCTACCGGTACCTGTTGATAGGCAGAACATTAGAGACCAACGAAAGAAAATGGCTCTGGAGTGCAGTCTGGTCCCTAGAGAAAATGGTAATGATTAAGTGAATGATGGTCTTGGATCTTTTTGGAGGCTCCTTGGTAAAAGCTTTAAATCAAGGGGGTTATTCTCACCGTGCCTTCTTTGATGTGTCCAGGCCACCAGGCAATGGCAGGCTCCCTCATGCCCCCTTCAAAGGTGGTCTCCTTCCCGCAGAGGAATGGCCCATTGCTGCCAGCTGAGAAAATCAGAAGCACAAAATCACATGAATACATGTATCAAATCACACACATACAGGATAGAAAATGATAGATAACAAACAGAAAAATGAGTCAATGAGTATGTGTGTGTGCATTTGAATCGAGTGGCTACCTTCGTTTGGGCCGGACATCAGAGCAGCTCCGTTGTCTGAGGTAAAAAAGACAAAGGTATTATTTTCAATGCCTAGAGTCTGCAGCCCTGACAAGATCCGACCGACGCTGTAGTCTAGCTCCATCACTGCATCACCATACCTACGGAACAAAGACAATCACAGCTTATATCATTCCCCATGAGAAATACATTTATTGATAACCTTATGCATCTGCTGGATTGTGTGTCAATAAAAGAGCAAGGGATGATAAAATGTACCGGCCTCGCTGGCTCTTCCCTAGGAAATGTTTGGAGGCATAGATAGGGGCGTGAGTGGCGTCGGCTGCCCAGTAGAGGAAGAAGGGCCGCTGGGCCTCAGTCTGACGGAGTATGAAATCAAGACCTTCCTGTAGAGATGGGAGGTGTGATTGATTTGTCAGTGCAGATGTGAAACCACTTACGAGAGCTTCATTCACAGTAGTGCTGTCAAGTTGTATATACAATAAATTACCTCCTTCTCACTTGCTTATCACATACTAATTATAACCATGTTTCTGAGTATGTAATACACTCAGTAAACTGAACCAAAATGTGACAGTTTTTTGCAATGCTGTCAAAACCAACAACTAAAAATATAAGATGGTATTTCAAAGTTTTGCCTTTGTTTCACTTTCCACAATCAGCCACATTAATAACTGTGCTACTGAAATCAGTCCAGTCCCATAAGATATGCTAATATGAGCTTTACAAAGCTCTACTTGACAGATCCATCCTCTTCTTGTGATGACATATTACACCTCTCAGGCATGCAGTGTGTCTCTGCAGGCTGCTTTTGATCCCTTTAGAACCAGAATGGGAGGGACTGACGTAGGCAGCAGAGATAATTACTACGAGTGTGCGCAAAAGTCAACAATCCACTTATGCTAGTATGCTGTTTTGTTAAAAGGGTTGTATTGTCTGAGATAGAGACAGCTTAAAAAAGACAGGTGAGCCAGAACTTACCCACAAGTAGATCTGTGTGAGGTTGGACTCTCCAGTTTTCCTGTCAATCTTAAAGTCTTCATAGAATCTGGAAATCAAGTGGGTTGACATGATTCATTAAATAAACCTTCATTTTTACTTAGCCAACATCCCATCTGAATACCTGCTGAGGCCACACCATGCCATCTCTCCTCTGCTTATTCATCCACATAAAATAATTATTTCACAATGACCCGACTGTATTGTCAGGACTTTCAATCTGCCTCTAAATTGACCGAATCTACTGCAGACAATATCATTAAGACAATGGAAGAAAATTTCCCTCTTGCGGACTGTGCTCACGGGAGATTTTGGTGAAAGACATATTTGGGATGTCTCAGCAGAGCGGAGCAGAGGGAGCTGTTATGAGGTGTTACTGAAGCGTGGCGCGGCAAGCAGAGAAGCAGTGACAGGCATCTCTCTTTCTTACGCTTCACTTCCTCCAGGTGTCTCCACATACAGCCAACGCAACCTGCCGTCTCTTGAGGGCGTGTGTGTGTCTGTGTGTATACGTGTCTATGTGTGTGTGTAAGTCTGTCCAGGGCCCAGGTATGCAGCGCTGATTAAACCCACGGCTAAGCGAAAAACACGCCCGGCTGCTAGTTCCAATGACCCTGAATACACATATGGCTGTTTTGGGGAAAACAAATGGGCGGAAAATGGAATACACAAGCACAGCTGGTACAGAGAAGGAAGAGGAGGGGAGACTCAACACATCCAGAGGAGCAGCCAGCCAAACTATTCCACTGAGTCATGGGGAAAGAAGATTTTTATAGATTTTCAGCCTCTGTTTCTGTCTGCTGTTATGTATATCTAAGTGCTTGTGTGTGATATTACCTGCCAACCATCTCAGAATTGTTGTAAACAGGGATGTTGGGTCTGATGCTGTTGTTGTAGGGGCCAAAGTGGCAGTTTGGTGCACCAAACCATTCATCAAAACCATTCTCCAGAGGCAGGTACTGTGGTCTGTGGCCAAGATGCCTGCGGTGACAAAGTGCACTCACACACTGTAAGGTCAATGTGACTGAAGGATCATGCTACATGTTTTTGCGTGTTCAAATTTAGACCATCACTAAAAGATTACATATGCTCGTGCTACTACACACCATTATTGAAAGCACAAGATATTTATTTTGACGTTTGATCACAGTTACTACCTTTAGGTTGTCACTGATTTCCATTCACTCCAGTATATTGTTTAAATCAACTTGCAGGGGCTTGAAATGTTGAGACAGGTTTAAATCTATAGCAGCAAAGTTGAGTGTTTGGTGGTAAAATGGTGAAGAATTTTTAAATAAGTAATCATTCCTAGGTGCATTTATGCAGAGCAAAAACCGAAGGCAGATAGCATTGTGTGTCATAAATTATTTATGTTAAACAAGCTTCACATTGAAAGGAATACAAATTAATGGATGCCTCAGGGATAGGAAATAAATGTAATATAAAATGATTGTATACCATGCAAAAATGATCATCAGTAATGCTAAGTATACCTGATTTGTAATAAATTGGCTAAACCATGCAAATATACTGCATTAGTCACTTAATTCATGGAAAAAGCATTCTAATAAAGCATATTCTATTTATATTCTACTGTATTTTCAAACTGGCCTGCTCGAACTCCTGAGCCACAGCCACCATGACCAGTCATCATCAGCATAACCTCTAAAACTTCAGAAACCTCTTAAAACTTGGATTAAAGAAAGATAAAGAGCTCACCACTTTCCAACTATCTTGCTGACGTAGCCCTTTTTCTTCAGCATCTGGGGTAACAAAATCTCATCCTTAGAGATTCCTCCCACTATCTCCTGTGGTGTGTATGCTATAAAAAAAGGTCGAAATTTTGTGTACAAAACTTTCCATTACTTTATTGCACACTGTACATTATAGACTAAGCAATGACAAAGCATGCATATTATTTGCAGCTGGATAAATTACACAGTAAGGGTATACTGAGAGTGTACCGTTTCTGGCGTGGGCATTAGTGGTGTAGAAACCGTTTCTGACAGGCAGTCTCCCAGTGAGAAGTGCAGCTCTGGCTGTTGTTAATATGACATAAAAAAGTCATTAGGATTTCAGCACGTTGGTCTTCCAAATGCTTTTTTACTGCCTAACAAATAGACTCAAGTGTGCTGTAGTACTCTTGGCGGCACCAATGTCACTTACGCTGAAGATTACAAATTAATCTGCCCAACTTGTAAAATAGTTTTTCATTATTGTCGTAGTTATATGAATTGCTCTGGGTTGCATCTCAGTTTTAATGTGTACATCAAAATCTTTCAGCTTTTTGAGAATTTGTTTCCTGTAACTAACAAGACCAATACCCTTCATTTATGAACTGTTATTAATGGCTGTGATTCAACTAAATTATGTACGCTAACCACTGCTGTCAGGTGAAAACCTGTACCTCCAAAATTCTTCTTCAAAAAAAGAAAAACATCTTTCAATAGCTATGAAGTTTATCTGCAGAGTTTTTATAAAATTTCATGAACAAAAGGCATACTTAAACTCTATTCTAAATCCAAAGCATTTTACATGAATAGATTCGGTTAAGTTACATAAAAACATGAAAATGATCAAGCTGGAGTTTAAAGGTTTCTCACCACAGCTGCTCTCCTGCTTATAATTACTGCAACATATTGTACTATGTTTGAATTCTATATTTTAATGCTGCAAGCTTAATTGTAGTAAATAACAAGTGTTGTCCTATGGTATGTCAACTGTAGGGCTGGGCAATATGCCAAAAATGATCATATCATTCGATAGCAATAATTATCACAATAAATGTCAAATAATTATTTCTTTCAAGTTTAAAAGCTGATTTTTAATCCTGAGTGATGGTTGAATAAAACAGACCGTTTATTGTGGTTTTAAACTATTCCTTATGGTCAGAACATGACAAACACTGAGACACATCTGAGGTAGAACATTCAAAACAATTACTTTTTTGCATGAGTAAAATTAAGTAAAATCTATTTTCAGTCCCTTTTCCTTAACAAATAAATATCTTAATGGAAAAACTTAAGTACTAATTAATTCATGATTCAAATGAATTAAATTAAACATTTATTGAACAATTATTGAACATTGTTATATTGTTATTGAGGAAAATTCTATTGCAATAATAATCATTATTGTTTTATCGTCCAGCCCTAGTCAATTGTTCCAACGTTTAATGTGACAATAAAAACACAAGCACAGCAGAGCAACTGTACTTCCATCTCTGAGAGATGGAAATATTCTAACATCTTGCAAAACAGGAACTGCTGGTTTAGGTTCTGTATTTTCTGCTGACTCACATGGAGAACAGAGCGGGTTGGCAGTGTAGAAATTTGGAAGCAGCATGCCCTGAGCAGCCATGGCATCCAGGTTGGGGGTCTCTCTAGAGGGCTGGCCAAACACCCCCAAGTCCCCCCAACCCATCTGAAGAGCAGAGGGAAAGGGTGGAGAGTCTATTAACAAGTCCGGCTTATACACAACTTATCCACAAACAAAGACGGAGAGAATTAAAGATACAGAGAAAAATATTTTGGGCTCTCAAACTCATTCACTTTTCAACTGTGTTGCTGATTTGATGAGCTGAAGTCACAAGCACACATATAACAAAGTAAAAAGTAACTTACGTCATCCATGAGCATGATAATAATGTTTGGAGGTGAAACATTTGGTGGCTTTTCTGTCAAGGAACAACATATTACGGCATAAAAGAGAGTCAGAGTTACTGCAGACATAACTCGCATTGCTATGAAGTAGTCATATGAGCATCAACTTCGAGGAAGTGCTTTGTTTGCCTTCGTGCGTGTCTTTAGCGCAACACTTGCGCATACACAGAAGCCCACTTGTTTTGAGGCGTTTGTTTCAATTAATTTAGGTTTTTAATTAAATGTAGCTTATTTGATTCGTTGACTTATGAATGCGTAGCTTTAGATGTTAGTATTAAATCGTTAAACGGTAAATAACCGAAAGAATTGTTTGTTTGTTTGGTGCATTCAGGACTTCTGAAAATTGTAAAATTGGTTGATAACAATCAAATAATTTACCATGTTACAAAATAATTTTATCAATAAGTTACATGAACACGACTAAAATACTAGATGTGTATAATATACAAAATCGGGTAATCTTCAATGTGACCGCTTTTACAACAGCGTCTGAATGCAGCAGATCACGTGACAGCATCTGGCAGCTCAGAGGAGGAACATACTAACATGGCGGTGTGTATAGCAGTGATCGCAAAAGAGGTAATGATTGCTGTTGTTAAATGTACCAGGTTTTATCCATACCCTGTTTTTTATGTTTCAATGTTTTCCTTATTCTCATTATCATCTCTAAGCAAATGCCAGCTTTCTCTGTGTGCCAGAAGGTTTAAATACCCAAACAAGGCTAACGTTAACAGCTAATAATAACATTAGCATTATTTTAGGCTGGCTGCTGTTATAATTCGCCACGTCGTTGATAAGATTTTGTGTGACGGTAACGTTACTCTTTTATGTCCTCCCCCAGAACTACCCGCTGTATATCCGCAGTGTGCCCACTCAAAATGAGCTGAAGTTTCACTACACGGTTCACACCTCTCTGGATGTGGTAGAGGAGAAGATCTCAGCAGTGGGCAAATCTTTGGGAGACCAGAGAGAGCTGTACCTGGGTCTACTCTATCCCACTGAAGACTATAAAGTGTATCCTTGTTTGATTTTGAAGTTAAATCCACAAGTACTCCAAGTGCCAGACTTATCTTTTAATTAAATCAAATTTCTTTTACAGGCCTTAGACTGTGGTCTGAGGTTGATTATCTTTTTAACAATATTGCTAACACATCTTTATAACGTCTGAAGAACATAAGTAAATGTACACACCTCTACTAATCAAGCAAGATGCTGAAATGCTTACATATGCCCATGTTCCCAGATATGTAGACCATTGCATTTATCTTATTGTTGTTGCAGAATGGTTTTAGCCTGTATGTTAAGCGTAGGATACTTAAGTTACTAATATAAAATGGTATCTCAGTCAGTGGACCTGAAAACCCTGCACATACTGTAAATGGTGTCTTACGGGAGAAACCAAGTATCCTTAACTGGTAAACTAGATATGGGTATGTAACCAACTCCAAGGTGAAATTTGTCATTGTTGTGGACTCGTCAAATACATCATTACGGGATAATGAAATAAGAAGTGTAAGTTGATGCTATTGCATGTTTAATCATAATCAAACACAGCCCAACAAACATTTCTCCAAAAGCTACATTTGTGTTGTTTAATACACATCAACAAAATTGGTTCTGTGTCAAGATTTTCATCTCATTATACAGTATGTGTGCAAGTACTGAATTATACCATGTTGCCATATGCCTCAGCTTAGATTTAATGAACCAGTAGAAGAGTGATACCTCAGTCTCCCACATTGTTTCACCATAATGTGGTGGAAAAATACACTGCTCAAAAAAATAAAAAGGGAATACTAAAATAACACATCCTAGAGCTTAATTAATCTCATTTAAAAACTCCTTTCTTTACATAGTTGAATGTGAATGACAACAAAATCACACAAAAATGATCAATGGAAATCAAATTTATCAACCCATGGAGGTCTGGATTTGGAGTCACAGTCAAAATCAAAGTGGAAAACCACACTACAGGCCGATCCAACTTTGATGTAATGTCCTTAAAACAAGTCAAAATGAGGCTCAGTAGTGTGTGTGGCCTCCACGTGCCTGTATGACCTCCCTACAACGCCTGGGCATGCTCCTGATGAGGTGGCGGATGGTGTCCTGAGGGATCTCCTCCCAGACCTGGACTAAAGCATCCGCCAACTCCTGGACAGTCTGTGGTGCAACGTGGCGTTGGTGGATGGAGCGAGACATGATGTCCCAGATGTGCTCAATTGGATTCAGGTCTGGGGAACGGGCGGGCCAGTCCATAGCATCAATGCCTTCCTCTTGCAGGAACTGCTGACACGCTCCAGCCACATGAGGTCTAGCATTGTCTTGCATTAGGAGGAACCCAGGGCCAACCGCACCAGCATATGGTCTCACAAGAGGTCTGAGGATCTCATCTCGGTACCTAATGGCAGTCAGGCTACCTCTGGCGAGGACATGGAGGGCTGTGCGGCCCCCCAAAGAAATGCCACCCCACACCACTATTGACCCACCGCCAAACCGGTCATGCTGGAGGATGTTGCAGGCAGCAGAACGTTCTCCACGGTGTCTCCAGACTCTGTCACATGTGCTCATTGTGAACCTGCTTTCATTTGTGAAGAGCACAAGGCGCCAGTGGCGAATTTGCCAATCTTGGTGTTCTCTGGCAAATGCCAAACGTCCTGCACGGTGTTGGGCTGTAAGCACATCGGGCCCTCATACCACCCTCATGGAGTCTGTTTCTGACCGTTTGAGCAGACGCATGCACATTTGTGGCCTGCTGGAGGTAATTTTGCAGGGCTCTGGCAGTGCTCCTCCTGCTCCTCCTTGCACAAAGGCAGAGGTAGCGGTCCTGCTGCTGGGTTGTTGCCCTCCTACGGCCTCCTCCACGTATCCTGATGTACTGGCCTGTCCTGGTAGCGCCTCCATGCTCTGGGCACTATGCTGACAGACACAGCTCGCATTGATGTGCCATCCTGGATGAGCTGCACTACCTGAGCCGCTTGTGTGGGTTGTAGACTCCGTCTCATGCTACCACTAGAGTGAAAGCACCGCCAGCATTCAAAAGTGACCAAAACATCAGCAAGGCAAGGAAGCATAGGAACTGAGAAGTGGTCTGTGGTCACCACCTGCAGAACCACTCCTTTATTGGGGGTGTCTTGCTAATTGCTTATAATTTCCACCTGTTGTCTATTCCATTTGCACAACAGCATGTGAAATTGTCAATCAGTGTTGCTTCCTAAGTGGACAGTTTGATTTTACAGGAGTGTGATTGACTTGGAGTTATTGTGTTGTTTAAGTGTTCCCTTATTTTGAGCAGTGTATATATAGGCCAATTCCAGAAAAGCTTCTACAATATTGTAATTTCTTTGACAATTCTTCTTTGCATGAATCCTTAACATGTTTTATACAAAAAAAAGAAATCTGAATTTAGGATGAGCATGCACCCATACATGACCCCACAGTAGTTATTGTAAATTTATACGTAAATTGTTCTATTACAGATGTTCAGAAAATTACACAACTCTTTTACTGACGTAATGTGCAACCCATTCCACAATCCTGGGGACCCCATTCAGTCTAAGTGAGTTTATTCTTGTGATACTTGAAATTCAAAAAGATCTGTATATTAACATTTTTCCTAATCTTGCAGTTTAATTATCAACCTATCATTCTCCAGGGCCTTCGATGGCATCGTATCTGGGATGATGGTTCAAACTGGCTGACATCCCTTCTACCCCATTCTGAGCCTCCACTGTACAGAATACTCCAAATCCTATTGATTAACATGTTGCCTTGATTGAAGTGTAATAAAACTGAGAAGTTGTTGTACATCACTGCATCGGTGTCATTTTAACTACAAACTGTGCACCGGATCATTATTTTATTTATTCACTTACATAGCAAAGAACTTATAAGTTATACATAACATTGCAGGCAGCAACACAATACATTCGCATCAATTTGTAAAAACAGTAAGACGCAAACTGCATAACAACTTGAGGATTGTCCCATGCATTCACAGCAACATAAGCTTATAATGCAACGCCTCCAACCCCAGTCTTCACATCTCATACTTGAAGGACTGATGAGGGGGTGCAATTTCAAAAGTCATCTTTGTTGTCCATTCTGGCTGTCTGACATGATGCTCAACTCAGTAATGCCTGGAAACACTTCTTTAAAATGAATCCATTCTATTCACGCACTTTAATACGTATGCTGTGGGTGGTGCTAGCGCTGTTGAGGGTAGTGCGGTCCGCTCGACCCTGGCCCCAACTCATCTGTCGGTGGGGTGATGAGAAGAAGACATGGATAACGTTTAGGCATCTGTTCATGGTAGTCCATGTGTCCCCACTGTCTCTTCCCTACTGAGGGGCCTCCATAGTAAGGGTGGGGTGTTTGATGCTGTGGCCTGGTTGACTGGTACCGGAACCTGCCTCGAGAGCTGTTCTGGTATCGGGGTGGACGGTACCCACGGCCTCTGCCTCTGGAGTGGCCACCTCGGTGTCCTCCCCTGTCTGTGGTGCTGATGCCTGGCATGTTGGTCCTCTTGGGCATTACCTGCAAGCCGTACAACACTGGTTTAATACGGTGTTGTTTAGGATGCGTTTCAAGAAATGCAGTGTTTGCTATTCAACAGTGATACAGAACAGAAAAACTTAGATGTCTTGATGCATAGAGAGACAACAGCTCAAATAGAGGACAATGAAAACCAAATGGGTGCTGTAACTCTTTCGGCTTATAAAAATATTGAGTAAAGTCATCTGCAATGTACAGGACCAAATTTCTCAATTTAAAAGTAAGTCTATATACCTGATCATCTCTGTCCATCCTAAAGTTAGTAGTACCCATGTGTGAGTAGCCAACTAGTTTGAGGGTTTTCCCCTTGAAGGACATGTAGTGTAATGCTCCTCACCTTCAGGACTCTGCCTCTGAACAAGGTCTCATGCAAACCAATAGCACTATGCACAGAGTCTCGATCAGAGAACTCAATGTAAGCAAAGCTGTGAAAGAGGAAGAGAGAAGACCAATGCAACAAATAAACCTGGATGCCAACATGCTTATAGTTGTATTCTATGGTCTATAACAGTGTCAGGCGGGGTGGCGGGTGGGAGTATATGTTGTATGCACAAGTTGAACCCACCCCTTGGGATGGCCAGAGAACCTGTCACACAAGATGGTAACTCGGTTGACAGGACCACAGCCATTGAAATGGATCTCCAGCTCATCTGCGGTAGCTCCGTAGTCTACCTGGGATTTGTTTAACAGCGTGTCAGATCAGAAGTGTGGGGGGAAAAAAATAAATAAAATACACACACGCTCAGTATGAAGAAAAGAGATATACAAGTCTTACATTTCCTACATAGACTGATCTGTTGTCTGCGTCTATCCTCTCCTCAGGCGTCATATTGTAGAAAGGTCCTGTGGAGGAAACAAACAATTGTATATGCTGCTTTTGTGCATGCAGTATTAACATACTTTCTGTTCATTTCACTTGGAGGGCGTCATTCCATGTGAGATGAACACAATTTCTTTCACCAACACATTTCTTGCATCATCTTAGACAGTACATCTCTCAGAATCTGGCTCCCCTCTGATTGCACCGCTGTTCTGAGAAGAAACCAAAAGGGAGGAAGATGGGGGGGTGAAAGGGATGAGGAGATGCACAGAGGCAGAAAATAGCCACAGGCAACGAGAAGGACCCTTCTGGATCTCTGGGGCTCGCTGCTTCATCTCATTGGGCAGTGATGAGGCACATGTGAAGCATCCCAGGTGTTAGCCAGATGGTGAAGGACACGGTTACTTCACCTGCCTAGAGGCTGCGATGCTACACACCTGGCTAAAAATAGGCTGTCGAGGCTTCCCAAATAGATAACGTTTAGCTGTACACCAACATGACAATAACAAACCCCAAGGTGGATAAGACCTGTGGGCTGCCTCACCAGGCCGAGGGCTGCTGGTCAGGAGCTGCATCTCTCCCACGTCACACCTCTCCTCCTCCTCCTTCAGTCTTTCTGTCTCTTCTTCCATCTCCAGCTCCTGAACCCTGGCCTTGATGGCCGCCAGCTCCTGAAACACACGAGTATGGAAACCAGAACATGAAGTCACTGTGGACTGAAGCAGATTACAACACCGACAACCACACTGGTGACAAATTTGAAAAAGGAAAACCTGAATGAATGAGTGCACAACCATAATGGGATAAAGATGCTTCCATACAGGGGTCAATTTTAGGAATGAAAGTTATGTGAAGCCCATGCTGTTACCTTCAAGTGTCATCAGATCTCAAACCAGTTTGACACCTTTTTAATTTTGGATCAGCAAACACAAAAAAGACATTTTTGATGAATGATTGTTCTTTCGAGATGAGGAGATGTGTCAATGAGAAGTAAAGCTTTTCTGGTGTGCCATCATCTTCATCCATAGGCTATGTTTATGATTGTGATACAAAAAACTAAAAAGGTGTCTTTTATTGATCTGCATTAGGCTACAAGAAACAGTTTTCTCAAAAGTACTGTTTGGATTGAAAATTATATGACTCAGAAGGCATAGAACCGACTGCTTGGCCAGCATGTCCATGTTAATTCAACAAAATTGTCAGTAAATATCTTGTGATAGCACCAAATGCACCCAAACGTGGACTTCTGAATGAAAATTTTGTTCTTTCACATTTGATTCTCCGAAGTCAGTTTTTGCTGGCCTGACGTTTAAGGATATCATCTATAGCCTACGTGAAACAGGGATTTACCATCAGTTATGAGTGCCTGTCCTGAACCACAATTTAAGCCACCAACCTGGGCATGCAGTGCACCTGATTGGCTCCATGGCATGCCGAACAAGTCACTCAACATGCCACACGGGATGCGGCTCACGGATGTCGTTCTTTGAAAATGACATTTATCAGTGATACAACGATACAGCATTTAGCATAGCTTGTGTTTGCGCTTGTTTGTCCAACGTGACAGTCGCCACTTGCTCGCCCTACTGACGTGCGTACAAACGAACAAACGTGACAGCACCCTTTTGGATTCACTGCAAACACAATGATACCCACCGGGTCCTCAGCGAAATACTCCCCGATGCACTCGCCCTCCAGGTAGCCGTACTCCAGATGATTTTCCGCCATGCTCACTGCTCAAACATGGCATCTGCAAAGCCGACTGCAGCTTCCCAAAACCGCCACAGAAAATGTCTTTCACAGTAAGGAAACGGTTTGATGATCCACGGACGCGACACCTGACAGCATATGAGGTAATCTAATAGATATCACCTGTGAATGAGACTCATGACGCGCTGGATTGATTGACAGGGGCGCGCACGTGAGGGAGACGCTGGAGGTGGACGTCTTCGTCCCAGTGGCGCATTAACAAGGCCCCCCCCCACCACTACCTCTGCCAGTAGTAGCCTACCCATCCCTCATTCATGGTAAAGAGCCTCATTCTTCAAAATAAAATCATGTTTCGTTGATGAATGTGGTAGTATTTGACAAAAATCACGGGAAATTGTTGTAGTATTTCTGAGTTGTCCTTTGGTAATTTAGATTCACTAAACTTACTTTTTTGCATAAGACAGGAAAGTGTGACATTGAGCCTGAATGCACAATACCAGGACCCTGAAACTGAATAAAAATCATTCACTGTATTATTTGCATATGTGCTTTTTCTGCTGTGACATGTCAAAATGTCTGCCATGAAACATGCCTACTCCAAAGTGTATTTAAGAAACATTAGACACCCACAAACTTTCTGACATGACACCACTGGAAAATTGTGTTTATTGAATATGAGTATTAAAAAAAGATTGGATTGGTGGAATCCATTCTATCTGACGGTATCTCGTATATTCAGTTGTTCTGTGATGTTTACAATAAACCCAAACCCAGTGAATTCAAAACAGTTTTATTTCAACTGTTTTGCAGCTGCACCATTCCATCAAATAGAAATTGTTTTAGACATCTTTACACATTTTTCCAAATTCAGACTGGCATATTTGATATCAGTGGAAATTTGATTGGGGTGAAGTGGGATTTCCACTAGAATTTAAAATAACATTGTGTTTATATAAACTGCTAAATTGCTGCACAGCATGAGTTTGTAATGACTGACTCATTGGAAAGATCTTAACCTCTTAAACCTAGCCAGAATGTTTAATAGTTGGATCAAATTAATATTTTAACTGGCTGAGTGGATGATATGTGAGATGCAACGTGTATGGGACTGTTGCAGCATATTTTTAAATACATATAGTTATATTGGTTTTTCAGTAAGTTATTTAGAACTGCTACTATCACATGCAGGAAAATTAATGTCTGAAGCTTACATAATAACTTTGTGTTAGTAATGATTCAAGATCGTTTTCCTTTTCTGTGGATGTCGTCCCAGAATATGCTTGCCTTTAAAGAAGAAAAGCAACAAGAGCGATGAATACTTCATTTCATGTTTTAATTACACAGTTACATTGTTCAACACAGACAATAACCTGAATTAGAATGTTTTACAGCTTCACACATCCAACAGAGCGAACAGTTAAAGAGCAGTATTAGCAACAGGGAGGAAAGCATGCAAGAAATAAATACAAATCAGAATTTAATTCTTCTGGCACAGTTAACTTCATCTAAAAACGGCAACAGGACCTTTTGAAGAGGGAAATAAAACGAAAGGAGAAAGATCTTCAAAGCGCCAACCTTTCCTATAGAAACGTGTTTTTTTCTGTAATAATGTATTGCACAATACAGTATAGAATTCTTCCCTACACATATAAAACCATAAACCTTTTTTTCAATTCATGTAAAGGTAAAAACAGGACCATCCTGAGCCATGGCTTTTGGGAAAACAAGTGCTGTATCCACTGTTTGCCACTTTAGCTTTCTACTGTAGCTATTCATCAGTGCCTGTTTCACAGGAAGGACGTGTCACCATCACATCAGATGAGCTTTGAATCTTCATTGGTAGAGTTACTGGTTGGGGTAGGGAGAGACAAATGCCAACCTGCTAATATTTGTCCTTTCTAAACATGCGTTTTGCCCATACCATGTACATAGTTAAACAAATAGAAAAGTGGCTGATGTAAAGTGTTCATAGACCCTTGGATGGTATTCACAACAGCAGAGCCCTTATGCATTTGCCACCTATAAAATCTTAACAGAGAAAAGTATATGACACCTCAGCAGGAATCTCAGTTTCATGACTTAGTGAAGCTTACAGCCAGCTGAACTGAAAATTGATCTGATATTTTGTAACAAGTCCAGCAAAATCAAGGGGGGGAGAATCTCATTGAAGGATAGTTTGCGCTTTCCTCTACAGCTCTGATTTTTGCTGCATGCCTGCAGCTTCATGTCCCACACAATCGGCCACACTGAAGTCCTCTAATGCTGGGACATAACATAAAAACCTTAACCTAAGTGAAAGAAGAAGAAAGTTGTAACTTTTGGTTGTATTTTGGTCTATTGGGTTTGGCTTTGTTTAATATATCTGAGGGCTTACTTGCAGACAAGGAGGCACACGCAAAGCATTTTGCGTTGAATGGAACTGTCATTACAATGTTGTTTGTATGAGGATATTGTATGCAAACGCTGTATTTTACTGCACAAAGCTGTTGCTACATATTGTGAATCGATCTGCCACTATAGTCTGGATGTTTCATTAAAGCTCAGAAGGTTTCAAGTAGTTTGTAAAGAGACATGAAATTTTTTACAAAAAACACACACACACACACACACACCACCTTTCACATACAAACACCCACCCGCCACACATTCATTTTATCTCTGAAAGGCTTTGTAACTGTAAGAACACGCAATCAGTATGCTTTTCCAAAGGAGATGCTTCTATATTTTTACAGAAACACTATTAAATATGTAGACAACAAGCGCTTTGATTGCTTGCATAAGAGTTCTACACATTTGAAACTCTGCCAGTTCATTGATCATGCTCTTCACTCTTGTGCCCTGATTGTGTGTATTTCAGACACTTTGGTTAACTGGTTTAGTGGAGCTCTAACCTTTTTATATCTGGTCTGTCAATACACACTGTGTCAAAGCCTACTATGGCAATGCAGGAGTACTTTGGTTTGTGCTTTTATTGGTTTTGGACAACAAATGGCATGTCGTGGTTGATTCTGTGTTCATTTAGGTAATATGCAGGCTTGACTGTGTTTGTATTACTTAATTCCAGCAGTATCCGTTTAGTTAGTGGGATGTGATCAAAAAAGTTAGGTCTGGTGAGAATAAATATTCTTCTACATCATGAGTAAAGGCAATTCCTTTCAACGCTTTTGTTTGTATCATTTTAAGACAGATTCATATGCCTCACTTTTGAATGTGCGTTTCCATGTCTGCTCTCAGCCCAGCTTTTCAAAGTCCAGGTCAACCTCTCCTGGTGGTTAGCTGTATGGTCACAGGAGGTAGCTAGTGTGAGGGGGGGAGGGGAGGGGGGTTATGAAGACTGGTCTGTGGTAGCAGTGGAGGAATGAGACATCAGGGGAAAGGGCACAAAAAGGCTGAAGTCAACACCATATCACGGTAATTTTTAACACATACATAAATGCTACACACAGATGCAGGGGTACCTTGCAGCTTATTCCATTTGAATTATATGCCTCACATAGTCCAAAAAAAAAGATTGACTTTATCCATCTGTTGAGCTTTTGTTTTCCGATGCCACCCACTGCAAAAAGAAAATTTCCTATTTTTTCCCTAAGTTTGGTCCAAGCGTGTATGAGGCCAACCATGTAGGGTTTGATCTATATAAAATTTGTGTGAGCATGGCTGCTACAAGGCCCTTTAAGTATATGCCTTGAGACCATTTAACAAACCTCAATTCACCAGAGGTGATCATATTGATCAGCATGTGGGGAGGGCTGAAAAAATAAACCTGAAGAGGTGTTGCTATTCTCTTGGCCTGGAAATAAAGACCCATCCCAGATGTTCAGCTTATGCTCCAATTGCAACTTTATAAATAAACAATAATCTGCTTTGTTTTTTGTTTAAAGCAACTTTTCACAGATTGGGTATCAAAATTAGGTTTGAGGTTTACTGTAGCTTAACACTGGCATATCACTTAATCCTATATTAATGGCTTGTCCTGCACCTTGGGGAGAAACAAACACTCCTAACCACACAAACACACACAGGTCAATGAGAACGAAGAGCGTCACTACAGTGGCACTTGAGCTGAAAGGAAACGGAACACTTGACATGATGTATCAAGTTTAACAAACTGATTGAAACTGAGCCACCACTTATTTCTTTTTATAACTATTGACTACATTTGGGCTTTTTTTAAAAATATACACAGTTGAGTCCCCTCCTGCAGGATGTAAACTGACCTGGGGTGAATGGACACACACAACAGTGACATCATTTAGTCCCAATTGCGATTAAAGTGACACACAAACAAAATGAATGAATAGAGAAAATGTTCTGGAAGTCTTGTAGTTGTCAATCCACCCCTTCAGCTACATGCATTGTGGTCCTGTATGGATCCACCTTTACCTCTGTTACCAACAGTCTCCTCCACTCAGGGTCACATGACGCTTTGATTTGAGTGAAAATTGAAAGTGTTTAACTTGTGTGAGAGAAAAAGAGGAAAATTCATAAATTTGAGAAACAAATGTACTGTGAGAAAAACATATTCTGGACATTAAACTTTAAAGGTTTCTGTTATTTGGCAAACACATTTTTGGACCTCTTTAAATACTATGTACATTCACATTAAGTTACTGATGTTACTTTAAATATATTTATATGTATCTATATTATATGACACCCTATGGGCAGTTGCTGAGGTTCCATTCAGTAGCTGAATTCTCTTCATATTGCACCTCCGTCCTCTCACTGTCTTACAATGCGAGCAATACAAAATATTCTACAAGAGGGGTTTCATCTCATTAATATAGATACAACAAATCAAACAATACGTAAAATGTGGGGCTTCCTCTCATAAACGAGTGTCCTTGCTCTGACTTCACTGCTCAGCCCATACCTAAAGGAGGCAAATGAAAGGTAACGAAACCAAAACAAAGTCCATCTTTCTGGATATACACAAGGGCAGCACATATGGACATCGGCGACAAGAGACATTTTGAAAAGAGGAACGATATCTACAAGCAGGTTCCAACCCTTCTCACGTGACTGCTCTGAGGCTCTGTTCGAAGCAGGCTGGGGTTAGGGGCAGACTTGAGTCAAGTAGTTGGGAAGAGTGTAGAAGGGTGGGAGGGGGGTGAGGGGAGGTAGAAAGAGAGAGGAGAACCAAGTCTACACCGCCCTGTACTAAGCTCTTTCATCTGTTTATCATGCTTTGGAAAAGGAGGGAGTGAATGTAAAGGTAACAGCAATTCCTTGAAATAGCTCCCCATTGTGGAACTTTAAAAAAAACGACTTACAAACAATCTTCCCATACGTCTCCATAGTATGCAACGCCTTCTCGGATAATGTTTTCAAGCTTGTTTTGAGGTTTTTGGCAGTTCCGTTGCCATGTATGCATCTTTATCTCCTTTGAGGCTGTGTAGCTTTTCCTTTCCTCTTTTTTTTCTCTCTGCCCTCTCTGTTACCATTCACAAAAAAAGAAAAAATCACACTGTGGCAGGGTTTCCATCTATTTCATTAAGTCTTTCTAATAGGCAAGTTCACAGCATTGTCCATATTCACTAGTCTGGGCCATCACTGAGGAATCGCTGTAGTTATGTCCGGACTGCAGGAGGCAGCTGCAGATCAAAGCAGGTCACAGTTTGTTTCTTAAATGTCTGAGTATCTCTGGGTCCCCTTCTGCAGCTTCTCTGCAGCCTGGTCCTCTCAGGGCTGGCTTATCTGCTGAGGAGGTGATGTTGCTTTGAGTTTGGTTATAAGATGAGTGCTTCTCCTTATCGCTTACTTACTCACTTTGGCAGTGTAATACAAACGTTTGGATCATGTTATTTTTCATCTTTGAATTCATTTGGGTTCACAATGGTGTAGAGAGGTGAGTCCGGTGTAGATTTTCTTGGCTCGCTAGCAAGGTAGTTAGCAGTTTAAAATTAATTTATTTTCATATCGTTATCATGAGCATCATCATCACCACTATTATTCTTTGTTTAGAATATTTGGACTTTTCTTTATTTTCCCTTAAAGCCAGAAAGAAACATTTAATAAATACTAAGCTGTGTTTCTGAGGAATTAATCGCATCACAGATTATTCCCCTTCCCTCATCCATTTGAAAAAAAGGTATTGTATTCCTTGCCCATCTACATTAGATGTACATGTAGAATATATCAGTGAACTGTTTGGACTGGTAGTGCACATGTCAGGGCTGGGTACTGTTCTCTCATTGGTGCTAAATTAAAGGGAAATCCAGTCCAAGTGCTAAACGGTCTAGTCATCTCCCTATCAATGTTGCCTTACCACAGCCCTTGTCTTGTATCCTTATGTGGACAGTATTTAACATGCTTACATTACTGAGGGCAGATATTAGTCAGAACTTCAAGTCAAAGCTTTTGGAAAACACATCTGATATCTTTCTGTGACTGAACACAGAGATAGGAGACGTTTCTTTCGTGCTTCCCACTACACTGAGCCCCAGGCTGGAATCTTTGTATTTGTGCCTGTGGTTGTGAAAGAGACAAAGACAGAAAAAGTATTTTGGGGGAAGGTGACAAGTTGAGAAAACCAGTCTCATCATCAGGTAGTGAGAAGATTTTCAGAAGGATAAGAGGGAAATATGGACTGAAGTAGGGGACGAGGAGAGGGAGCAGTGTGCGATGAAGATTCCTCAGTTTGGTTTGGAGTGTGGGCACTGTTGCATCAGTATGCAAGGGAAAGGACAAGGGTCAGACATCAACGAGAGGTGGCATCCAGTAGGGCGGGGGTAGCTGGAGTTGTGGAGCGAGAGGCACTGCTGGAACTGCTCTCCTTGGGGCTGGCAGAGACACTTCCACTGCCGCTGCCAGCCCCTCCTGCAATACTGCTCTGGCCTGCCAGGGACAAGGGTCCTGGAGGAGTGCTCGCAGAATGGGTGGGGGGTGCACTTGAGGATGCTGAGGAGGAGGAGGGAGTGCCTAGAGGGACACTGCTGCCCCCTGGCAGCCCCTGCAGGCCTTGACCACAGACATGGTGGTGTTTCTCCCAGTCTTTGTGTTGGCAGAAGGAGCCGCAGTAGCGAGCTGTGTTGCAGCCACTGCATGTCTCACTGGCTTTCCTCCCGCAGTTCCAGCAGCTCTGGTGAGACAGTGGGGAGAGAGTGGGTTGATAAAAATAAGTCTCTTTTTTGTCCCAGGATAGCACATAGTTCTTTTTCTTTCTTATATCAATATATGTTAGACCTATTTTATTTTTACTGTTTTTATATGCAGATATGTCTATTGTCTATTGTCTATTAGTTTACTTGTCAGATCCTCACTTTTTCTTACTCTTTGCATAGGGCATTTTATTTTATTTTAAGGCTTTAAGGCTTAGTCCAACGCCACTGGTTTGTGTTACCAGCAGGTGGTGGTCAACTGCTCTGTAATGGCCTCAGCCTGGTACTCAACTCCAGCCATCTGGGTCTGTCTGCTTTTATGTACACAGACAACTGGACTGCTTCTGCAATAATGATGACAACATGGTACAGCAACAAACCACGAACAGCCAGCTGTGTGGATTTCACAACACAGGATAACTTAGAGGATAAGAGGAACAAAGTCAAGGGTAATGGATGGAGCTAAACAGCGTTGAAGAGGAACCCAAAGAGTGAGTGACAGAGTAAGGAATTAGAGAACAAGTGAGAGAAGAATGAAGCAAAATGTATGTGGGGGGTCTGTGATACTCACTTCACTGGAATCCTCCTGCTGGTTTATGACTGTTAGTGCATCCTCAGAGGCTTGCCTCTTGGCTTCGGCCAGCGCCCTCTCCATTTTAGAGCGTTCGGCTGAAATCATCTCATGGGCCTTCCTCTCAGCGTCCGATACCGCCTTCTGCAGCTCTGACATTGCCTGTCGTTTGACCTCATTCACTGCCTCCTCTGAGAAAGAGAGAAAGCGAGAGAGAGGTGTTAGTGCTTATAACTTTTCGTTTCCCATCCTGCCTGCTGTGTCATCCTTTATTGAGGCTCTTTAAGCTGCTATCTTGTTGTATCTCAGCGAACAGATGTACATCATCCAAGATTTAAAACTTTCTGCCAGAAAAGGGAAACAGCCAGACCTAAATAATTAATTAAAACACGTCTGGCCACAATTCTTTCCAGTGCTAACAACAGCAGATGTCTCCAAAGTTTTGTCACTAACTTGGCGGTTCATCCAACTTCCTTGGATTCCCTGTTTGCATGATTGTCATCTTGTCATAAGAATCTTTTTTTTCAAGAATTATAAGACAGCGTTTACAGTGAAGAGTGAATTTCCCTACAAGTGGGAATCTATCCACTGCAGGGCTTCCTACGATGTAGATTTTAGCATGGGGCCTTTTGTTCTTCTAGCACAAGCACAAACTGTTTTTACAACAGGCAGGTGTGTAGACTCCTTTCCAGATGGCAGTCTAAAATAGAAACTTCCCGCAGTCCCTTCTCAGTAAGAGGCAGGAGTGATTACATTTTGCCATCTTTCATTATTGGCCTCACAGTACACAACAAATGTACAGTAGACTGTTTCTCATAGGGATTTTTACACCTGAGAAATAGGCTATTTATATACACTATTTATTATTCAAATGCTAATGTGGTTGTGATCACAAGATATGAATTCCCCCAAATGTCATTTTCTTCTGCCATCAAAGACAGCAACGTTTTTTTTAAATCATAAATGAAATGATTTTTCTCCCTTCTGCTCCACCTCCTCCAGATGTAGACATACACACACGTTGCAAGTGACACACATACAAGTGGCTCTCCAGGGCAACCAAGTAGGAGGTAAGAATGATACTGTTCTCTCCACTGCTCCCTATTTCCTCCAGTCAGTGTTTGTTTGAGAGGGAACTCATAAATAACTGTCACTTTTCTTCACCGCTCCACTCCAGTTGTTTCAAACTACTGTGCAAAAAGATAGGCAGCGGGGGGAGCCTTATCCACACCATGCTGTGTGTATGCGCATGGCTGTGTATGCATATGTGTCTGTATGCATGTGTGCATGCCTGAGCTTGGTTCCTGTGCTCATATGCTAAAAAGTTAGTATTCTGTCAATCCTGTCAACATCCAGTCACACTTAAACACATGTCTCAATGCTTTCCCTCATCTACCTCTACCTTTATCCTTCATTTCATTTTCTACTCCTTTTTTCTTTTTCTGAAACCCTTCCTCCTCCTCTTTCTTCACTCCTTTGCAAACACTATCTGCATTATCCCGAGCTTCTCAATTATCTGGCCTAATGCATGCACCACTAAGATTAGTTTGCAAATTTAATTAATTCTTATCAAGGAGACCGCATAGCAGATGCTGGGGCAATTAGCACTTAATGGAAAACACGGGGGCAGCAATATTAACGTTTCAATTCCACAGGGATTTGGCAAGTCCCTGAGACGTGTTATTTCTGTCTGCTTTTTCACACTTCAGATCTTATTTTTCAAAAGCACTGCAGTCCCTCAACCTGAACCACAGCACAGAATACGTGTCTGGTTTTAATTAAAAGCAAGAGGTGCTGCAGCTACATCAGGCAGACTACCTGGCTGCTGAGATAGAAGTGGCACACACACACACACACACACACACACACACACACACACAGTAGAGGTGAGATGTTTGGAGTGAGATACGTTACTCACCCTGCCTGTTTTGGAGGTGCTTTAGTGCTGGGGAGAGCGGGATGCTTGTAGTACCTGTATGAAAAACAACTGCAATTAAAAGAGCTTTTTCTGCTGGTGAAAATGCAGCACATTATTTTGCCGACAGCAGCAGCATCTTTCCTCCGCAGGGTACTGGATTATGACTGCAACATAATAGTTCTGGGACTGTGGTGGAACAAGGGCTGGGCCAGGTGACTCCTGGGATGGACTCTATCTAACATGCAGTCTAAAAGAAGGCCCATGCAATGCAAAACTCGCTCCTGCTTAATTTTGGCTACAAATTGAGCCAAAAATAATAACCATGGTCAATATTTGTTTTGTCTGTATATCTTAATGTCTGCATATGATTCTCTTCAGTAATAACTTTGCATACAGCTAGAAAACAATCACAATGAAAAAAAGAGGTATTAAAACTTGAGAGTATGTGTTTTTTCGGACAATGGAGACCAGTTAATCTCCAACCTGTGCTGTGCTGTGCTGCGCTGCTGCGGCCTGCCTTGGGACCAGGTGACTGCATTTTCACTGCAGCTTTAACTGCAGTGGCCTTTCATAGTGGTGACAGATGGAGGGCATTTAGCCCTAATGACACAGAAGGCCTCCAATCCTCTGCCCTGATGGACCTACGGCTGTAAGGCCTCTGTTCTGTCTGTCTCAGTAGCCTGGGTGAAGGCCCTGAAGACTGATGATGGTGATTGTGTGTGTTTTGTTAGTCTGTGTGAGGTCAATCATGAAGACAATAGAGAGAAGGGGATGCTTGGCTCTTACCAGCTTTCCTCCAGATTTCTTCTGGCAGGTATCCTGAGGGGGGCCTGTGTAAGAAGTCTCTATGGATCTCTGAAACACACAAGCAGGCACACACTCAGTCTAATTTACACACACATACACACACACACACACACACTCATAGACTCTTGATCTGCACAAGCACACATCCGTGAGTCTCCCCTATAGTTTCCAATTCTATTTTTGGTAACAATACAAACTAAGTGTGTGGCAACATCAGTAAATATGCTGTCACCTTTTTCAACCATTTCTGGGAAGGAATCAGAACACGAGCGTTAGACGTGAATAGAAATCTTAATGATGAATGAGCATGCTTGCAGCATAAGGGTGCAATCAGTTCGTTAAAGATCCAGGATGTTGCCACTGGATTTGTATTGCCTCACAGTGTGAGATAAAATTTGTAAATTTGCCAAAAAACATGATAATCTAACTGACTTTTTGTGTCTAAATTGATACATTTAGACATTTTCAGCATTTTCAGCATTTCAAATGAGCCCTACCTTGCTGTGAATGTTTTGTTTTGCCAAAAATACCCTGTGTGTGTTTGTCTACCTGTCTGTCTGCCTGTCTGCCTTTCAGCAGCCGAGGAAGTTCCTATGGGCAGTGACTCGCTGCTGCTAGCTGTGTTGGAGGAGGAGTTGTGGAGAGGAGTAGGAGGAGGAAGAGGAGGAGGAGGAGGAGGAAGGCAGTGCTGTCCGTTGCTCCCACCTTTTTTCATCTCCTCCACATCGCTGTAGCGGCGAATCCAGTGATTCATCTCCTCCCGGTCGGCCTCCTGGCAGCGGCGCAGCACCGTCAGAGAGCGGCGTGTCTTCTCCACCATGTCCATGATGCAGTTCAAGAGCTGCAATATATGCAATGGAACATGACTGAGGATGACTTAAAACATTGCTTGAAGTGATAAAAGAACAGGAGAAGTTTGACAGTGCTCCATTTAGCTGAAAATGTAAATCCCTACTCCCAAACACATGTCCATGTCCCCCAAAAAACTAATTGAAAAAGGATAAAACTTTTATCATTTACACGAACAGAGTTACTCATTATTTTAATCTCTCCCAAAATGCATACACCCTAGCAGACCTATGTGTTTCTTTCTCGGTTCGTGGGTTGTGTGCTTGTCAGTGGATTTCAACGTCTAAGAGCTTCACAACGACGATAATGTAACAGCTGGGTTGCTGATGAAAAAGTTGAGCCAATTCCTTCCACCCTTCTGCTCTGTTCCCTGCCAACTCAACAGATTTCCTCTCTTTTCTCTGCTCTAACCCCCAAACCCCTGTTGTAAACAGCGTCACTTTTTTCTACAGTGCCATGTGTTTCCAGACCCGGCCCGGTCTGCTAAATGGGTTTAGCATGGTTGACATTCAATCCATATCATTATTCCCATTCATCTTTCCCACTCTCTGTCTCTTTTCCCCTGCCTCCCCCTCCCTCCCTCCCCTCTGAGTTAGCTATATTTATTTCAGTGAAGTGTTTCTAATTTGGCAGGGGTCCAGGCCTGGCCGGTTCGCTCTGTGACTGCAGCTCTTGTCTCAGCTGCTCTCCCCAGCTGGAGCTGCTCTCTGCTGGGTCCTGAGCTCCATCTGGGCCCTGTTTCTGAGTGTGTGTGTGTGTGTGTGTGTGTGTGTGTGTGTGTGTTTCTAGTGTACATGATTTTTGTGTGTCTAGTGTACATGATTTTGTCTTCATGGAGTTAGGTGCCAGGACGCCAGATAGGTGTCTGTCTGTTGTTAATTCACCACACTGACACAGACTTCCTAGGTTCAGCTGTCCATTAAATGCAAACTCAGATGGGGCGGAGACTCTTCTGTCTGTCAACAGCTCCTGTCCCTGTCCTATGCATACCATCTTTAGCACTGAAACTAACTTCAATCATCTGCTGAGCTCTTAGCTCTTTTTTTCACTTCTTTATGATGAAAAAGTGGTTTATATTAAACATGGCTACCATACTGATACGTACATTATCAAGGTGCTTCCATTCTTCTGCCCACTCTCGATCTGTAAGACGGTGGTCAATCACCTCCTCTTGGCGGGCTCCGTGCACTGCTAAAGGACAAACATGTCAGAAGTAGCAAAATACTATACACTCATTTGTGAACACAAATTAAGGGAAACTGGCCGAATTTCTAACCATAAACCCAGTACTGACGATGAGCAACTTAATAGTGACATATTATAGCAATCAAACAAGCAACGAATCAAATCAAATCCCTCAGGTCATCAGGTGGGGCTTTTCTACCTATACCAAGAAAAACATCCAGATCTGGAGAGGATGCTTTTAGTTACTTTGGCTGATGTTTCTGTATTTATGTAAAAATGTGTTTATGTATAAAAGTAGACGTTTCTGTTTTTTCACAAATACGATTAGTTACTGTGCGTTTTTCTGTCCATGTTTGTAATTTGTGTTTGTGGAGTAAGAGCACAAGACTATCCAAACAATGTGTGACCAAATACTCTTCACACCAGAGCTTTACAGTGCAATACAACTTTTTATTAAGAGTTATCAAAGTTTAATTTCAAACAAAATAGGTGCAGGCGGGCGCTCATTTGCTACGCCATAGCCTCATGTCTAATCAGTGAGACAATTTGGCTAAGAATTAATCTTTCCTTTTGGGAAAGCAGAAGGAAGGCATATATGGTTGCCACAGTTGTAGCCCATGGGCATGTATGGCTGTGGTCTTTATATAGACGTTCTGCCACAAGGATTATCACACTGGACTGACAACTGGCCTTTGTTCTCTCCATACACCCCACTTAAATATACACAAGCCCACAGTCTCAACCATATAACGGAGGACTGTAGATCTATAGATTTATCTGACCATGTGAAAGCTGTGTAGCTGTTCTACCTGTCTGACGGTGCCTGTCTCGGGCGTCACGGTGTTCATTATGTCTGTAAGCGTCTCTGTATTGGTGTGCCAGGGCCATGTCTTCTAAGCGATAGTGCTGGGGTCCCATTTGGGGGTTGGGTGGGTGGGATAGGCCGTTGGGAGGGTGTGTGGAGAGGCCGTTGGGAGGTGGGTGAGCAGGAAGACCTGTACTGGGGCTGAAGCGTTGGCTAGGGCTGATGGTGCAGGGCCTCTTAGCCAGGTGCTCAGGATGCAACCCATCTCTCTCTGAGCTGTCTTTGGTCCTGAAGAGGAGGATATGGGAGTGGGTTAAAACACGATTGAATGTTAAAACACTCAGCTGCTTCTAAGTAACATTACATCTAGAAATGAATAGTGGTGTGGCTTGCCATGATTGTATTTAACGTGGTGACTATGTACTTTAATGCTTTTTTGAACAGGCAGTAGAAAATGTCAAACCAAAAGTTAGCAGCATATGGTATGACAAATGGGGGAATAACGTTTGAGGGGGGAGAGGATTCAGGGGCCTGGTGAGACTCTGGCCAGGGAGAGCGAGGCCTAAACAGAGTACACTGATACGAGCAGTGGGGAGAGAGATGCGGAAGGTTTTGTTTTGTATGTTCAATTGTTACAGACTGCAGCTTTAAGAAAAACATGAAACATCCTGTAAAGAATTTAAAATCATGGAAAGAAAGTTGAACATACAGACTAAGGGCTGAAGCGTTTTATCCAGCAGTGGGAAATGTGGGATGTGTGGTATATTATCATCTTCAACATAACAGATCTATGTTTGTTTGCCAATATGCAATGGTCTTACGCAGCCAGACTACAACTCATTAGCTCTGTTTACACAGCCCCATTTACAATTATTCCACAACTGTCCACCCAAGAATCAATTCAGCTGCTTATATGCTGGACCAATCACAAATTGTTTTGGTGTGGGCATGGCTACCCTCATTTACAAAAAGTTCTGCAACTGCATGTGTTAATGTCTGAAGAGAGAGATGAACTTTTGAACAGCTTACTTCATCTTTGCCAGCTGGTCCATCTATGGCGTCACCAGACCACAATGAGTAATGTGAAAACCGTGGGATGACCTGGGATTGCCAGGCTAAATATGCAATGCCAATATATTACTTCAGGAAAACATGCCCCAGCAAGGACTAGAATGCCCTTAACATCAGATTGTCTGATTGTGTGTGTTGATGTGTTTGTGATGAGGCAGTATTGCCTACAGTATATTACTAGTGTACAGCATCCGTGTTTTTGGCAAACTGTGAAACCACGTAAGGTAACAGTAGTGCCAAATTATGATTATTCAAAGAAAACTCAGAAATCAGAAACATCTGTGCTCTAATTTTATACAAATGAAGACAAAATTCAAGAGTTGAACATTTGTTGTTCTCTGGGACTCCAGATGCAACAGGAGCTTTGTAACTTTGCTCAGTAATTATTTGCTCTGAGAAAAAGGAGTACCACAGTGAACAGATTATTAAATGAGAAATCACAGTTTACCATAACAATTTATTTTCAAAGATTACAATACCTAGTATTGCGGACTATACCTGTTTGAGGAGGCTCAAGCAAGGAACACAAACCTGTGTTCAACATCTCCCTCGTGGTATATGCACACACATAGTCACACACATGTATCCCTGCTGAAAGCTGCTTGTTGTTCAGTTGCAGTACAGCAGTGGCCCTACAAAGCTATTGCACAGCTGTACACCATATGTATCAAACAAAGCCAAGTCCAACTGTACACCCTGCGTCTCAAGCTCTTAATCTGAATATCCCTCAGCCTACTCTTCGACTGCAAGTATTTCCCCCTCTCTCCCACCCTGCTCTGGGGCTTAGGGGGCAATATGCTGTGTTTGGCAGATGTTTATTGACACTCGCTTGTGTCTGTCCAAGTGAGTGTGTGTGTATGTGTGTGTGAGAGGTAGTGTTTTCAAGCCATCTGGACAGTTTAAATGGGTGTGTTGATATTAATCTGTTTAGCTGGATGGCAACAGCCAGGCATTCGGATGGAAAATCACTCTTTATCGTCCTGGGGATCAAAGGCAAATAAATGCAACACAGCCCCATGTAGATGATGTGTGCGAGTGCATGTCTGTGTGTTTGTGCGCTCATGTCGACTATACTCATACACATCCCTTGCTCTAGTATCTGACAAATCACAGGAACAGCTGGCACGACGTAGGCCCTGCCTCAGCTTGAATCCGCGCCATCCCCCTCCTCCACCAAGCCCCGCCTGCTGTGTATAAGCCACAGGTCGGGAGGCGGAGGTGTGCGGATTACAGTGGGATTGCACATTCAGCTCCAACCCCCCCACAGCCCACTCAGGATGTGCTCAGTGTTACGGTCAGCACATCACCATCTGGACACATCCCCAACATATGGACAGCTGTTGGGAGCCCGCAGGTCAGGCAGTCGGAGAGAGCGAGAGGGAGAGAGAGAGCAAGTGAGTGCGAGAGGCGAAAAAGTGATCAGAAAAGTCGGACAATGAGAAGAAGGAACAAAAGGAAATACTAGTTAATTCTCCCATGTGTCATCTTCTTAGCTGGGTGAATAAAGCAGAACACTGGGGAGAAATATGGGACAATGGCAAACCAGCTCACTGTTGGTCTTTCTGTCTGTCTTTGGGTTGTGCTGAGGACATCTACTGTACTTCCCTCTTTTCTGTCTCTCTCTCTCTATTTTGCTTCTCAGACACTCTCTTTCTTTTCCTACTCTGCATTTATCTCACCCCTCCCTCCCAGACAGCTGGCAGAGCCCAGCCTGGCATCGGGGCTGTCCAGACTTCCGCCTCCCGCACAGAGGATTTATAGCCTCCCCTTGCTGCTTGGCATTCTAAAATACCCTGAAATAATTCATATACATAACACTGGCTGTGTGCGAGTCTGCCAATGTGTATGTGTCTCTGATGTCTGTGTCTGCATTTTCTTGTGTGCAATGGAGAGATGCTACCTGTCAGGGGTCCGTCTCTTGCCGTGCTCATTCATCTCCAGCATGATCTCAGACGAGTCGAGGGGCGAGCTAGCATTGGCGTCCAGGAGAAGCTGCTCGTGTTGGGCCAGATACTGAGCTGGAGTCTGCTTGGCCAACCTGGCACAGTGAAGCAACTCTCTCTGTAGCAAGGGCAGGTTTGCCTACAGTGGTAAAAAGAGACAAAAAAAGGCATCTCTGGATTAGTTAATAAGTTGTTGTAGGAAGGATATACCAGCGGTAGACTTATTGAGCCAATGTAAATGTAGAAAAGAATGGTTAGTGGACAAGAGGTAAGCTACAAACCCATGGTGAAAGAACAGATAGATGGGGTGAGAGTGAAATAATGCCAGATTAGGGTGAGAAAAAAAAGAAAGTGATAGATGAAGAGACAGGATGAGATAAGACAGGTCCCTTGACACCTTCCTCTGCCATGTGTCTCTCTCTCTCCGGGGTGTGCTGATGTGTATACTGTGTGTGTGTGTGTGTGTGTGTGTGTGTGTGTGTGTGTGTGTGTGTGTGTGTGTGTGTGTCAGTGCTGTCAAATAGCTCTCTCAGAACTGTCTGGTTGATATAACGCAGCCATTGCTGCAATGTCCCAGATGTGGAAGATCATTGCACACCAGGAGATCTGACACACTCACACACACTTTTAATGGACCTTCACAAGCACATCCCACCATTTTCTACATAGTACTGCAAGTGCAGTGTACACAGTACAGACCCATAGGCTTCCAATTGAAACAAGGTTTCCCTCCCCGCCTATCTCTATGAACAATTTTTGTTCGGAGGCAGTAAAAGAAGGAGCACAGAGTAAGGGAATACAATATCAGTCCTGAACACTGGCCATTTGGAAAGCAGCAGTAAGCTCTGAGCGTGTCAGCTTAAGACAGGCTTGATTAATCTTACATAAAATCTGTGCAGTAAGTATTTACCTTCAGGAAGGGGATGACGAACGGCCTCAAAGGGAAGTTGGTGGCCTCGTGAAGTTTGGAGTGAAACTCTTCGATAGTGAGAGTGGAGTTCTGCACAATACAACAGAGAGAGTTAGACAAAGAGGATACACAAGTCGAGTTGCTGAAAAAAACTTATAAAACTTACTTATAACACTTTCTTTCAGAGCCAAAAGAGATAATATGTTGTTTGCACAAGATATTATCTTTTGTGCTTTTTGTGATGAAAAAAATACTTTTGGGGCTATGGGGGCTCCGTCCTTTTTGAATGCTGTACAAGACAAATTTACAATATGTACAACAAGCATAATAAGTAGATACAACATTAGCATAAAGAGAACTGCTGAGTGAGTACGGTTTTGTTTTTGAAAGAGTCATCTAAATATTTCCACATGAAAATAATCAGACTTACCACCAGCCCCAGCACAAGGCTGCGCACTCTCTCTCCAATCTCAGGCGATATGTCGTTGCCAAACTGCTGCAGTGTGGTCAGGAAGCGCTTCAGCTTGCAGAGTTGTCGGGCACCACAAGCTGGCGGGAGCTGCTGGTTGGAAAGCGAGGCCGTTGAGGACATGGCTGGCCCATTACTGAAGCCGTTAGGAGTTGACGGAGCACCGTTCAGCGATGTAGGAGAGTGGCTGCTCCCATTCAGCACTGCAAATGAACAGACAGAAGGAAGAGACAACGTGAATTTGGTTAGTAGTTTTTGAGGGGCCTGGGGGCCATCTGGCAGATCTGGGGGCATGTTGAGCTCTTTTATTCTGCTGATAGAGGCGTATGTGGTTAAGATTAAATATAAGTAATGCACACATTAGACTCAAATTTGACACCACTCCTACAGTAACTTCAGTGGTGCAGCCACGGTGGGTTAAAATCAACTGGACTTGGTTGAATATACTCAACGTTTCGCTTCTCATGCAAGATGCTTCTTCAGAACTGAGGCCTTATGGATGAGAGGCAAAATGTCTTTGATTATCTTCAACCAAGTTCAGTTGCCCTTGATTTTAACCCACCTTGGATAACAATGACCTGGATGATTAAGAGTCTTCACAGACTTCAGTGGTGCAGTTTGACTGAGAGCTGTGAGTGTGTATTTGTGTGTGTGTTTGCAGTAACTTCAGCTGTCTCACAAGTGGTAGCATTTGACCCCCCCCCCCCCGAATCAGTCTATTCCACCCTGCTCCTCAACATCTCCTGCTCACTCACTAGGACACAACTATAAGAGGAACTTGTTAAAGAGGTGCCAAAAATAGCCCTGTGGCCTGTGTTACTTTTATTCCAATAGCAGGTGTGTAGCTAAATCTGGCCCTACATATGTCCACCAGCTGAAAGTAGATTTGCAGCTTTAAGGTTCAGAATAGACACAGCAATCATACACATATATAATCACTCACATATTCTTTGTAATGCAGGCACAAACAAACTCACACACACACACACGCACACACATTTGACTTTTCCCCTGTTTTCATATGTTCCTATCTGAGCCAGATGAGAGTAGATTACATTCAAATATAAATTGTTTGTATTTACTTTTTTGTTTTCAATTTACTCTCCATGCCATACCTCCATGGACGGCTTGTATCTAGTGAAATTTAATTCACCCTATATAGTTTATCGATATCTTATTGATGTGTGCAGTTCGTTTGCCCTATGTTGTCCCTTGGGTGTTTTATTCATTATTATTATTAAGGTGTAGTTTTAAATACTACTACTAGCAAAAGTATGTGTATGTGGGAGAGAGTACAACAAGTGCGAGTGTATATGGGTTTTATGCGTGTAAGAATATACGAAATATATACGAAACTTTGCGTGTATGTATATATACATATGGATAAGTATGTGTATGTGTATATTTATTTGTATACATTAATATAAATAATTTCTTTTAAACTCATTTTATTTTTCTACCCCATCCCTTTTAATGTAAGGTTTGTCCTCACTAGCTGTGATGTTGCCTACCACCAATGTTTGTTGAAAACAGAAAAATGGAAAAACACAGTTTTCTCTCAGATTAAACACACAATGGTCTGCATGAAATGTCTGTACCTACAATCAAATGACTGTTTCATTATAACTCCATATGCTAGCCCTTACACAGAGCATGGCATTCAAACTATAATTTTATTAGCCCCGCAGCAACATAATGTTTTCAAAATGTGTTTACAGGACTCTGCAGGAAGTAAAGTGTGTACTGTAACCTTGTATTCGTACTTGAAAACAAGACTATATACAGTTTATTTGTTCAATAGTCTAGTTTTCCTGTGGTTCCACTCAAGCATGATTGTTGCTCTAATCAGTGGGTTAAGGACCTGAACACATATGGACTAACCCATGTGATCCCAACAGGCAGCACTTGTGTTCTGGTTTTAGAGAGAGGGAGAGGTGCATGGAGAGAGCTACACTGCTGACCACCCGCCACAACAGGTGAAACAACATGGCCTGTCATTGCTATATAGGGAAGAAAGTAGTCTACACACCGCATCGCAACCCCAGCCACCGCCGCCCAACCAGCTGGTAAACAACACAGCTCATGCACACACAATGCCACAGCCGCACTTGCACATGCACTCAAAGACACTTGTCTCACTAGCAAGGGCATTCGCACACACACACACACAGATAGATGCTTGCAGAGACACACACCTGACACACAAGTGACTTCAACACTTGTTCATCAGAACAGGGAAGAAACACATATTTGGAATTTCTCTACAAGCATATAAAGTGTTCATGACAGTTGACCTACAAGGGACAGATTGATGAGTGAATATTTTTTAACATGTTTTTTTTTAACACATAGAATACATTGAAACATAGTCACTGAAAAACTGTTCTGACAAGAGATACATGTAAGCTAGACTTTAGACATGTAAGCGAATTTAGTACAGTTTTAACAATATTTGGGGCATTTTTGCTGTTATTTGACTGTGGACATTTGAGAACCCCCAGGTCACAAAAGGAAAGAGAGACAGTGAATGACACGCAACAAATATCCCCAAGTAGAATCAAACCGTAGACACTGTCATCACAGTATATGATATGCATCTTTGGGACCACTGGTTTGAACCTGGATGCAAAAAATTGGCCTACAAATTACTAAATCTATACTTAGATATTCATGTCAGCAAGGATATAGATACCAACTATGGCCATCTTCCAGCTGTTCCAGCACACCTACCAGCTCACTGCTTTTCCTCACACCTACCTGGTTAACTGCTTGCTGACATGACTCTTCAGCACAATAGGATCATCTTCAAATCAAAATATATATCTCACAGCATGTGAGCTAATCAACTGTGGATCATGTACAGCTAAATAGCTTCTGGTAAAGATTTTGGACTGAAGACAACTCTAACAGTGAATGCACCCTCACTGTATAAAGTAGACTTAAGGTGTCAATAAAGTTGGAAAACACTCAAAAATGGAAAGGGTCCTTACTTGATTTACTGGTAGTAGGGGTGAATGAAGCATTGCGATTGGTTGCTTGGCTGACAGCCGGGGGTGGAGGAGGCATGGTGGGTGGGGTGGACCTGGGCTGGGTTTTCACATCCGCAGGTGAATCTGGCATTGTTCCAACCTTCTGCACTCTGCTACCTGCGACATGAATTGAGAAAAGGAAAGAGAGAAGAGAGACAGCCATCAAGATGGAGCTCCAGCATGAAAAAAAAAATCATACTTTCAAAGTGGAGACAGCTGGTTAAGGAGGAGAGCGCTGACATTTCCACCCGGGAGCTATCGATTGTTTTAAACCAAAAGCCCCATAAAAAGAACCAAAACAAATCAATGCAGGGAGTGGAAATGAATCCAAACTTGTATTGTGTCTCTCTTGTTGGAGATTCATGGGCCTGGGAGACATACAGTAACACCTGCTCACTCGCTCAGTTGCTGCTGACTGAGCCCCCCCATCTCTTTCTCTCCTTCACGCACACACATACAGACACACACACACACTACATGTAGGTCTGACATCCCAATCAGTGCCCCTCCACTATAACCTCCAACCCCCAGTGCCCACACACACACACATTCACATGCACAAACTCCTCACTCCTCCCCGCCTGCCCCCTCTCGTCCCCTAGTTCAGACAGCCGGCTTGACAGCCAGTGACAAGTGCAGCTGGATCTGCTGCTGTCCATCACTGTGGACTGGCTTTCAGCAGAGCTCCGTCCTGCCACCAGAAGCTTCACTGTCCTCTGCCAGACACCCTGCCAGCACCAAACAAGGCAAGGCCAAGCTCTGTAGCGTGAAGGGAATGGATGGTACAGCAAGGGAGATGAGAAGAAAACATGACACATTTGTGGCAAAGGGCCTCATGCAGTCTTTATATACAGTGTGTCTTCGCAAAATCATCATGCACAAAACAAAGTCATATATATATATATATTTAGTATAAACAAGCAGCAGGTCTTTAATTTAGTGAGCTGAGAGTGTTGACTGTCTTTCGGTCTATGTGTCCGTCTGTCGCAGCTGCTGGAACCAGATCTTTCTGCAATGTAAACTTGAGCTGAGAGGTGTGATGACTTTTGCAGCCTGTGAGAAGATAGCTTTAGAGTGTGTACATGTGCATAACTGGCAGAGAGCACAATAAATGTGCAATGAAAAACAATGAAATCAATCTGCAGCATGGTTTATATTTTAGTACAGAAATGTACGTATTTCTGCACTAGTACTACCCACCAGTAGTGTAGTAAATATATACATTTATAATGAAAGAGTAAGGTCAGAGGGCCCTCTTTTCTGCTCTAGCAAAGCAGATATAAACCACATTGCAGATTTTATGTAGCATTCATTGATTTTCAATAACTCCATTTTCTATGCTTTCCTTTTTCTCTCTTTCAGCTGTCTCAACGTTTTGTAGAAAGAGAGAAAGAAATTAACCTTGACTGTTCTCCCAGATATAGAACCCAAATAAAAGCCAATCAAAAGCCTTATTTCACACCCTCATGTACACAGTGTAAAGATCACTGCCAGAGTGGCACTCTCATGAGACCGGGCTTGTTCAAATGACGCAAGGGAAATTATCTTATTAGTAGTCAGAGATTACCCCGTGTTATACTAGTAATGATGATAAAAATAGTACCACCACTACTCTTGAAACGAAATAGCCAAATGCCTTTGATACAATTGAATACTGTTTAGAAACCTCCTTAACAGCTGTAAATGTATTGTAGTAACCACCTAAATCACTTTGAAAAGATTGCGTTTTTCATTTCACTCCTCGTGAGCCAACGATGAATCCAGTGTTTTCCTCCCCAAAACTCCTGCCTCAGTTGGCGTCAGTCGTTGGTGTTAGCCTATTTCTGAGAGCTCATGTAGATGCGTTCAACAGCTGGTGTCTGTATTTAAAGAGTGCTACTCTGGAGTGTGCTGCACGAGTGCCATTGACACAGTGATCCTCAAGAACATGAGGGGCACTCTGCTGTTTGCCCCATGCCAGACGCACAGAACATAAACACACAAGGTTGTAGATAGGGGCAGATGGGGATGGCTGGTATAAATAGATGCAGCCATTCTCCTCTAAAGAATCCTAAACACACAAACAAGCTCTCCGTGCTGCTGAAGTGGTGAGCTGCTTCCTGTGGCGAGGCAACCATATGTTTCAGTAAACCTCCTCTTTGATCAAATATAGTGTGCCAACTGTATGCAGTGTGTACTGTAGGACTTACACATATTATACATCCCAACAAAAAATCCTAACATGCATTATAATAACCAGTTGTACAAGTTCTGTTTAGACTGTGGTTAAGTCTCTTTGTCCCAATATTGTTTGATAGTCTGAAGCTTCACTCTAATGAACAAGAGCCCGAACCCTGTGAGATCTACAAAATGTAAGGAGGAGAGGAGAGGAGAGGAGAGGAGAGGACAGGAGGATAAGGGGGCCATCCTGTCTGTATGTCTGCTCCCACCGTGGGATTATAGACAGCTGTTTAATCTGACCAGCAACAGGGACAGGGCACACGCGCCATGCTCTGGATTTCACTTTTAATACATTAGGAAGTCTGCTAGGTCTGCCACCCCATCTGTGGCCATTTGTGCTCCCATTGGGCTTTGTGCTGAAGGACAAAACACTCAAACTGAGAGCATACCAGGTAAAACAGACCTGTGGTTAAAGTCTGGGTCTAGACCATGCTCATGGTCTTGTCTAAAAGCTGCTCTATTTCCACCCACAGGTTTTTATCTGGCTCTCGGATAAGAGCTACTTTGTGATCAAAACAGCTCAGAGTAGATCTGTTTAAGATGCAGATACATTGCTGTTTGTCCAAAACACTCACTATGGAATATTATGCTGAAAACAGAACGACAATACGACACAATCATTACCTACCTCTCTGCCGCTGTCGCTATCTGTCTCTGTTTCTCTGACTCTCTTAACAGCTGTATATCTGCACGTTTGACGTAATCAGGGCTAAAAGATTGCTCACCAAAGAAACAGTCTGCAGTCTGAGTTCTAAAAATGTTCTCTCTCTTCTACTATCCTCTTGTGTCATGATGAAACAAGATGAAAAACAATTCACTGCGAGAAACACAAAACCACAGATCATGTACTGTACAACTGCACACAGTGCTGTGGTTTGTCTAACTTTCTAAAGCCATGTGGGGTCTCATTATAGATATAAGGACATATGCCTCCACTAAAGCCCTTAAAAACACACATACACAACTAAATGCCATCATTTAATGACAAGCCATTAGAAGGCCATTCAGATGCATTTTGATCTCATTTCACATTTGTGGTCTCATTTCACATTGTCATAGTCATCATCCGCTTGTTGGCTATTTGTATTTGTATGTGTGTAAGTGCATGTGTGTTCGTGCTTCCACTGGAAATATAGATGCAACTTATTAGCTTGAGCTAACCACGGCAGAACAGTCCCCTTAAATCCCCCCAGTCTATGCAATCTCTGGTACTCCACAGAGACTCTTGTCGGAGACCACATAGCCCTAAAACTCTCCCTCTGTCTCTCACTCCTTACATCCCTCCCTCTCTCTATCCTTCCCTCTCACTGTAATTCCCCCAGTCTCCAGGAATGCTGTTGTTTTTAATTTCTCCCAGCTGCTCTGGCTGGCTGCCCGGCCGCCTGCCTTCCCACATCTGTTCCCTATCAGGCCGCTGAGGAGTCCACACAAACAGAGCTTGAGCCCCTGGCCCCCAGCCTCCTATCAGGCCTTCATATCAAAACATCGGGATTGTAGCCTAAGACTTAGGAATACAGCACCTATAGCCCCTCCAATATCATACTACCAGCCCAAATGCTATTCAAAAGAAAAAATACTTTTGAACAGTAGCAGAAGACCAATATGCCATCTTTCTGTGACCTTGAGCAATCCACAAAAAGAGCACAATTTCTTTTTGTGTGCCTTATAGTTATATATGGTGATATATGCCTTGTTATCAGTGTGTGTCTGAACAGTATTACAGGTAAGATGGGAGTGTGTGTGTGTGTGTGTGTGTATGTATATATTTGAGTGTCAGCACACATGCTGCTTCTGCAGACTATCCCAGACTCCACTTCATCTTGAGCTAATTTAGAGTTCACAATCTTTAAAGCCCTCACTAATAACAGGGTGGGAGACAGGCCTGTACAGTGCGTGCACACACACAAATAGATACACAGATGTATGCACACATGCTCACAGGTTTTCTGGATGTGTATGCTCACGCTGCGGACACAAAAACATATTTTCCCCTATGTTACTTGAGAATCTCTGTGATAGTACACATGCAGTGCCGGCTGAACAAACATGTTGAACAAAAACAAACTGGGGAAGGGGGGGTGGAGGGTGAAGGGGTTCTCCTTAATAAGCACTGACAAAAGCCCTTGTGTCTTTGATCACCACGAGCAAATCATTGACAAGTCACCAATTTGTCCCAAGTCAAAAGTTTTTTCTTTAAAATGGGTAAACTGGCAAGAGTACCAAGCATAACTTGAGGACAAGCAGGGGGTGAGGATGGATTACAGACATTTTATCCAGGGCCAGGGGTGCTAAGGGTAGAAGAGTTGTACTTCTGTCTCTTTGAGCTGCAGGGATCCTGTCATACAGTGCTTATATCTGTGAAAGCTGTTATTGATGTAATTGTATTGAAGTTCTAGCGACCATCTGTTCTCCTCTGGGAGGGCCTGGCTCCTCTCGTCGGCAGTGAAGTGGTTATGTGCAGCATATCACTGCTGCCGACGTGCACGCAGAGAAAAAACTTCCTTTTCAGATTTTCCCAACGGCTGCTAATAAAATCCAGATGCTAGACTGGAGCTACTCGCTGCTCCTTCTCTCCTCTCTCTCCATCTTATGTCCTTCTACACCCCTCCTTCTCCCCAGTCCTTCTTCATTGCTAATCATTTATTTTGCTCTTTTCACTTCCTCTCTCCTCCCCCCACAATCCATCCATCCTCGCCTCCTTCTTTCTCTCCAGCCACTAACCCAGAGCCATTCCTAAATAAAGGAAAGTATTTGTGACATTCAGCCGAGGCGGCTGTGCCAAGAACAACTCCCTGGCTAGCCAGGCACATCTGGAGTATGTTAGGACTGCACTGGTACCAACACTGGCTATCCCACCACATGTACACACAGCAAATGGTCACAAATACTGGACCATA